ACGTGGTTTATCAGTACGTCGGACATATCAGTACCTCGGACACTTTTCATTGGCATTCTACTTTGAATATCAATAAATCAACCATAACATATTAAATTAACTATAACTAAGCGGAATCAGATGAACTAGACATATCTATAGCTTCTTGACAAGTTCGCGCATTATGACCAGCTTTTCCACAGATCCCACAGCATCGCCTAGACGGTTGCCCCTCCTTGCGACTACCCCCAACCGCACGTACGTCGCGTCGTACCTGCTCATCCACACCCTTTTGTGCGATAATAGCCTGTGCATCCTCTACTATAAGTGCACCTCCTTCACGGACACGAGCCTTTTTAGCCCTGCGGCGTTTGCTAAGGGCTTCATTGGCTGCTCGAAGGGTACGTACCTCAGCAGACAGAAGGGTGTTCTCATGTGCTAGTCGCTCCGTACCCTTTGCCAATGCAATAACTGTCCCGAAGAGTGGAGTTGGCGAGCTTCCTTGGTGACGGGCAATTCGATTTCGAACGAGGGTTGTTTGTGAAAGAGCTTCAGTTGGGTTGGAAGGGGTCTGGGAGACCCAAGTGTTGGTGTTGGCAGTAGAGGGTCTAGAGGGAGTTGGAGTCCGTAACCTCACGTCAAGCTTTGAAAGGACTGCTTGCGGGTCGAAAGGCACTAAGCCAGCTCTGCGGAACCCGGACTGGGCGTTTTGGGCTGTCATGGATTCCAGATATGCTGCTCTAAAGGCGAGAAAGAACTCGACCTTGGTAATGTGGTTGATATGAGCCTTAATGAAGGTCTCAATCTGCCGACCATATGCCCGCTTCAACACACTAAAGCACCCGACATCAAGTGGCTGAGTTAAATGAGACGAGTGGGGAGGTAGTCCAAGAGTTATAATGTTGTGTGCCTTGCAGTACTCTTGGAACTCGGCCGATTCATGACTCTCGTGCCCGTCTAACACCAGCATTCGATATGGACCCCTTGCACGAACAGCAGTATGTTTGTCGAAGTGTTTCAACCATTCTAGACCCGTCTCATTGTTTGTCCATCCATTGCATGTCGGTTTAACAACCCAGTTGTGTGGAAGGCCGCCGTCTGTATACCAATTTGCAAGATGATTCTTGCCTTTAACTACCAAAAATGGAGGAATACTCCAGCCGTCACTGTTGATACAAGCAATCGCTGTAGCCCATTCCCGATTCCCTGGCTGAACTGCCTTACCTCTGCCAAGTCGATCTGCACGGGTAACAACCATTGCAGGGCAAATCACACCCATCATAAACCCAGTTTCGTCAAAGTTATAGAAGTCGCAGTCCAAAACACCATATTTTGCCCTCATATTTTCCACTAGTCGAAACCATGCGCCAATTAGTTCAGGATCTTCGCACAAGGCCCTTTGGAAGTCGTAAACGCGATTAAAACGCATCTTTAATTCTGGACGTCGTTGTACAAATCGGTGGGCCCAGAGCTTCCTGACGCGCCTCCCTCCACGCGATTCGAGTATAAAATTTGCCATATCTTCTACACCAGCAAGCCGGGGTGCAAATCCTCTTGAATCCATATCAAGTATATTCCGAATAACCACCTCCTCTTCTAGTATAGTTAATTTCATCATTGCAGGCCGGCGTTCGTAGACAGTAGTTCAGCCGTTCATTCTGTCGCAGAGTGTAGAATGAGGTACTTCATAGAGCTTAGCAGCCTTCCGACGACTTAGATTTTTTGATGTTCGGATAGCCTCGATAGCTAGAATGATTTTTGCTTCTTGGGTAATCAGTGACATAATAAAAGGTGGAAAAAACGCGTTGTGAAGTTAGAGGGTAGGAAATTCGGGAAAAGTGTCCGAGGTACTGATATGTCCGACGTACTGATAAACCACGTTACATGTATATAACGTATTTCACAAGCGAGTTGGCCACCCAAGCAAGTTGGCCACCAAAACACCAAAATTGACTATTACTGCCTACTACTACACCACCACCCTACATAATGACCCTTATTCGATCGTAATTGAATCCTTGTGCCTCGTACATGTACGGGAGTTATGGCCCATAATACCACATATGCCACAGCGCTTCTGTCGGCCTGTAGAACCCACCTGCCGACAATGCTCACTTGCCACCTCCGTACGGACTTGAGCTTCTACCTCAGCACTCTGAAGCATATCCTCTCCCTCTCGTACGGAGAGACTGCCCCCTTGCATTATACGCCTCTTGCGCTTCCTTTCCCTCCTCTTTTTCTGTTCATTTGCCGCTTGTAGAGCCTTAACTTCTGCCTTAAGTAGAACAGCAGAATGCATCATCATTTCCGCCCCTTTAACAAGGCAGCTAACAGCATCATTAATTGAGGTAGGAGAGCTATTCTGATGTCGTACGATGCGGTTCTTAATGTGCTCTGTTTGAAAGTTAAGCTCCCTTATAGTTTGAGGAGTCTTTGAAGTCCAATTGTCACTCTCAACTATAGGAGGTGTTGGAGTCCTTAAGCGTAGATTTAAGTGAGAGAGGACACTCTGTGGCTCGTACGGAACTAGTCCTGTAGCTCGGAATCCGCTCTTGATGTTCTGCTCTGTAAACGTAGCTTTGAATGCTTCTTTGAATGCAGAGAGGAACTCAAGCTTTGTGATGTGGTTTAGCCGGTTCCGTACGAAGGTTTCAATCTGCTTTCCGTACGAAAGCTTTAGTGGCGCAAAGCAGCTCACATCAAGAGGCTGAAGAATGTGTGATGAGTGTGGTGGCATACAGAGGGTAATTATCTTCCGTTCTGTGCAGTAGTGTTGAAATTGAGCAGAGATGTGGCTCTCATGTCCATCAAGAATAAGAAGGCGATAGGTTCCGACCGTACGAGCATTTGTATGTCGATTGAAGTGTTGAATCCACTCATACCCAATTGAATTTGAAGTCCACCCATTCTCACTAAGCGTAATCACCCAATTGTCTGGTAATCCTGAGTCTTCGTACCAAGCTGAGAGGTGATTCTGCGCCTTGAAAATAATGAACGGCGGGAGTGCCCATCCGTACGAATTAACACCTTGGATAATTGACACCCACTCTCTATTCCCTGGCTGTATAGTCTTCGGACGGCTCTTTGCTTCTGAGCTTGTGACTACCTTTGCAGTAGCAATAACTCCCATTGCGAAACCTGCTTCATCAAAGTTGTAGATGTCCTGCTCTAAGATGCCATATTTTGCGACTGTGTTTCGTACGAGGGTGAACCACCCTTCAATTATCTTTGGATCTTCGCATTTTGCTCGTTTGTAATCGTACTTCCGACTAAACTTTGCTTTAAGTTCCGTACGACGCGTTATGAAGTTACTAGTCCAGTTCTTCCCAGTAGGGCTCTCACCTCGTTCGGAGAGTAGTAGGTCTGCCATTTCTTGCACAGCTTGCGGCCGGGGCGGAAATCCACGCGAATCTAGGTCGAGAATATACTGAACAAGAGCTGACTCTTCGTACGAAGTTAGGTTTTGTGATTTTGGGGTAGAATCACGTCGGGAGGTCATTCCATTCATTCTGTTGGTAAGGGTACTACGTGACACGTCGTATGATAATGCAGCAGCTCGGACACTCTTAAATTGACGTTCCTTTAGTGCCTGAATAGCTAATAGTATTCTACCCTCTTGATTTGAGGATTGGGCTTGTGTTGGTTGTGGCATAGTTGACTGTAGTCAAGTTGACGCGTTTTGGTGTTTTGGTGGCCAACTTGCTTGGGTGGCCAACTCGCTTGTGAAATACGTTAGTTTATAATTTCTATTAATGGTGGAGGCACTACAAACAGTGATCCAGATGCTGATGTGTGATGGAAGCATATAAAGCAATTTGATAATAGAACTGCAACAGGATAGTAAACCCCAACTGGCTGATATCCTGAACGGAGTGCCTTTCGAAATACTGTATATGTCCATAGAACCTGTACTCCTCCAAACGCCTGTTCTACAGCAATTCGGACCAAAGAGAGGGCTCTATTCCAAGCCTTCCTTTCATCTGAAAGAAAGTGTCTACCCTGTGGGTGCGCCCATGGGCAAGCCATACCATAACCTGCTTGGTATACAGGATCACCATAGAGATATAATAGATCATGGTCTTGCATAACCTAGATGGTTATTAGTATTGTAATATAATAATAGAATACTATTACCTCTCGTATATGCACCTCTACACCAGAGCGCCACCACATCGTCCAATCATTTACAGGACCAGGCCACGGGCCTGTTAGTGATGATATTAAACCATCAGGAGTTACTACTGCTTGGTAGTTGATTCCATGAGCCCGTTTATGGCCTGAGAATACGAGCCGCTGAGCGTCTTGCTCTTGCGGACGCTGGTGAGACCGAAAAGTACCATCGGCAAAGCCCCAAACCCCATCTGCGCCCCCTACTCTCTTAATAGCTACTGCGAACTCCTCTAACTTCTCATATGTAAGTCGAGGGTGCCATTGAAGCATCCTTGAGTAAGACTGATATAGGAAGAGTACTGTATCTGTAAATACAGTACTTAACCAGGCTATAGAGCGGCCGAATATATCAGCAAGTGATGCCCACCGCCCTGGAAATGTAAGCCGGGCACATACAACGCAAAGTGCCATCCTTGGAGCTGGCTGTACTCTACCGCTCCATGGCACATTATGGAGCTGAAAGAGTATAGTAAGTTGCTGGATCTCACTCATCGAGAAACTATATACATAGTTAATTAGTTATTATAAATGAAAAGGGACAAAGAAGAGGAGTGCTTACCGTAGTAGTTGCCGTGCTTGGATATCGTCCAAACTCTCAAATAAGATGCGCCGGCGTTGCTGAATATGACGGCGATGATGATACTGACGACGCCGAGCCCTTATTCGGTGCTCTTCTTCTTCGTCCTCTACTATACTTGCGAGGATGACAAGAATACCCGACAACGATATGATCCTCGTTCTCTGTCTCCGGCTTTGACCTCGGGCTTGGCTCTGGCTTCCTGGCATTATAATTATCACTTTTATAGGCGGAATCACAGGCGGATCACCATATGTACCTATATACGACATCTCCAGCTTCAAATTATCGTATATTACGCTATATACAGCAGCTAACTACTCTAGGCTAAAGCTACACCACATCGCAGCTGCTATACTCGCGAGTGTAGCAGCTGCTGAAGTGGCCTACTGAGCAAGTAGGTCTGCAAAAAAGGTATGTTCGATTTCAAATTTCTCCTTTCTATTTTAGATCTCCCTCTGCAGTCACCCTTCGTTCGCAGTTACGTCAAGTCCAAGAAACAGACAGTTTCTTGGACTTGGCGGGTATATGCTTCATCGCTCATCCACGTGCTCCATCGCTATTGCATCTGGCAATGAGACAATGCAACACGAGCACGTTGTGATCATGACGCCTCCCCGCATTACAGGCTGTGTGAGATGGAGAGGGGATGGCAATTTGCGTCCTGGGTTTGTATGCAGGCAACCCTCACCGCCCAACCTCCTTCAACCCCACCCACAACTCCGGCTTCATCATCGAATGAAACACCTTCTGCGTCTTCATCCTCCCCTCAAACCCCCAAAGACTATTCTCTTCCTCATACCTCCCCCGATCAATCGCCATGTCAAAACTCCACAGCAAATGTGCTGCTATAAGTCGCATCTCCATATACGCCAAGTTCCGCCCAATACACACTCTCGGTCCCGTGCCGAATGGTAACGACGCACCGAGGCGGTCATTCGCGTATTCCTCTCCCTCGCCGAGCCAGCGCTCGGGACGGAAGTCGTCGGGGTCGTGGAAGTTCAGTTTCGAGCGCGTCGAGGCCCACGGGGAGACAGCGACAGTCGTGCCAGCTGGGACGTAGAAGCCGTCAATCGTTGCCCCGCCGCAGGGAACAATGCGCTGTTGGCTTGCACCCGACGGCGGGAAGAGTCGGAGCGCTTCGTGGATGGTTGATTCGAGGTAGCGGAGGTTGCGGACGTTTTCCCACTTAATGTCTTCTGCGTCTGCGATGGCCGAGCGGATCTCGGACACGACGCGCGTGTAGACAGCGGGGTGGGCACAGATGTAGTATGTCCACCCTGCCAGAGTGGTGGCTGTTGTGTCGGTGCCAGCACTGATGAAGAGGGCCATGTTGAGTTTGATTTCCGTGTCGGAAAGGGAGTTTTTGGCTTCATTGTGTTTGAGGATCTGGTAGATGAAGTCGGTGTGGTCGCGGTCTCCGTCCGCGAGGCGTTTTGCTGTCTTCTCCCGTGAGTTGTTGAGGTGGGTGTTTCGCCATTGTGCAGCTTTTGCGGGGACGAGGAGTTTGGTTGCTAGGGACTCGAGGAGGGTGCCTACACCGCAGAGACGGCGGATGCCTTGGGTCCAGGTGGCGGCTATGAAGACGTTGATTACGGAGGTGGACCATTCTGTTGCTGAGGCCTGGTCGAGGCATCCGAAGGGTTCGGCGAAGCATAGGTCGCCCATTACATCGAAGGAGGTGTAGGTGACTGTATGCTATTAGTTGGGTGATTACGAGAGGGTATGGTTGGGGAAGGCTTACACCAACTTGAGACATCGACGGGTTGGTTCTCGGCTTCCTTTTCCTTGAGCACGGCAATGAGCTTATTTACATGTAGTTGAAGTAAGCTTTCATGCTGGAGTAACGCCGTGTTTGTGAATAGGTAGCCCAGTGCCCTACGCTGGCGAGTGTGCTCGGCGTTCAAAGCCAAACTGACGCCAGTTTGTCCCTCGACACTGCCCACAGCTCCAAGGAAGATGGCGCTCTTTTCCATGTTCAAACCGCCTTTCTATGGATTGGTTAATTCCGAAGACTTTACGCTGTGATTTGACCTACTCGTAGACCGTAAATTTCCTCTCGTGCCTCAACACTGACAAAGCTAAGTTCCCCGGGGGAGACTCGCACGATCGGGCCATATTTCTCATGCAATGACCTGTAGTATGTGTGTTGATTTCCCGTTACCAAAGCTATGGTGGCAGGTATCTCAGAGATGCTGTTGGCCCATGGTCCGGGAGCTGAACGAAGAGGGTGGAAGAATAGCCTCTGAATGATCTGGAGAATAAGGGCAGCAATGACCTGGTGATAATGAGCAAAACTTCTCAAATGTAAGTGATGAACTCACGAGGAAGGCAGCCGTCGCGGCTATTGAAGCCGCAGAGAATTGACTAATCATCACGATGATAAGACGAAGTGAATTTTTGAAATATGCAGCTGTCCATAAAGTGAGTTTGTGCGCTTCCAAGTGATTTTCTGAATCAGCTGTTCTTACGTTATATTTGCCAAGCTCGTGGCTCGCGCAATGTTGGGATAAGCTCTGCCACTGAGAGAAGCCTTGAAGGCCCGCAGTACGGAGTTTGGGTCTATGATTGTTAACAGGGGACCCATGTACGCAGTTTCCACCTCTCCGCTGTTTTAAAAAGGGGCAAAAGATCTATATACCCTGCACCACCCCTGTAAGGATTCATATACCCTGCTGCCGCCTTCGGCTTCCTCCGTGACTCCATTGACCCTGATGTCCCATTTGACACTGCTGCTCCACTGACCTTGCTCCTACCATACTCGTGAAAGCGCCCTACTCATGCGGGCACCAGCAACTTCTCATATTGTGGACCTGTCCCCACAAGTAGAACAGCGCCCAACACCAGAAGCTCCCTCTCCCCTCCCAACTCTCCTCGGTGGGTCCTCCTTCTGGAACCTCTCCTTCTTTGGCCTCCGCCGTGGGACCTGTGTTATAGACGGGAAACATGGTTGGCTACATACAGTGAGGCATCGGGCCAGCGATGCTGACTAAATGCGGCAGAATCTTTTGATAGTTAGCGTTGGGTATATAGATCTTTACAGGGGTGGTGCAGGGTTTATAGATCTTTTGCCCTAATCTATACAAACGCGTCACGTACGTACGAATGGTAAAGCAGCATAACATTACTCGGGATTTTATTGGACTATACTTCTACTAGGGGGGAGACGATCATTGCACGTTCAACAATTCCTGACGCAAAGTACGAGTAAGCATATACCTACCAAGGTATGAGTCTATATAGAGCACCTTGGTAGTTATACTGGCTGATCTTCATTAGAAGTTGCAGAGTACATACAAGATACGTGCTCTGTAACCTTCGCGCTACAAATAAGATCGACGAGGATATACCTGGGAATAGACATGCTCGATATCTACTCGGTAGAGCTTGTTGGCTGGAAATGATCGTCGGAATATGCCCAAGGTTGACCCTAACAACCAAGGTAGTTGGACGGTGGATTTGGAGGTGTTATGAACATTATCCCGAGGTTACATTGTATATACTGTATTTGTCCCGTCCCAGTTGAAGTTATTATTCGTGCTTGGCATAGGCGATCAGAGCTTGTTTATCCGAGCTGTGATGGGAATTGCGAATAATCAACCAATCTGCTCAAAGTACCTCGCACATGTGCGCGCGACTTTGAGCACAATTAGGGTACTCCAGGGCCTGGAGGTACTGGGGCATGGGGGTGTCCTTAATATTGGAATAGTGACAGGGGCACCATTCTTTAATTCACCATCGATGCACTTTCACTGTACAGATGGGGAATAATATCCATGGTAGAAGTATAATAAGACTGGAGGCCTGCGGATTTGCTCAGTTTCTATCAAGAGACCACAATATCAAAGATAACCTCACACATCATACCAACACATCATACCAATACAGCCATGGTCGATACCGAAGAATTAGCAAAAGGCTATACAGCCCTCAACGGCACCCAATACGACGCCGGTAAATTCCTCCTCGAACGACTCAACATCACCACCGGCAACCACGTCCTCGACGTCGGCTGTGGCCCCGGCGACATCACCGCCCACATTTCCAACATCGTCGGCCCCAGCGGCAGCGTAGTAGGTATCGACCCAAGTAAAGAGCGTATTGCCCTTGCCAACGAGATCGCCACGTCAAATCTCTCGTTCCACGTCGGCCGCGCCGAGGACCTCTCACGTTTCGAGTCAGACAGCATCGATGTGGTGTTTGTGAACTCTACGTTCCACTGGGTGGAGGACCAGGCGACGGCAATGAAAGAGTTCGCGCGTGTGCTGAAGTCTGGGGGACGTGTTGGGATTTCCGGGGGGTCGGGGGATTTCGAGGCAGCGCATGAGAAGATCAAGGCGGATGTGCTCTCGCGGGAGCCGTACTCCAAGTATCCCCTGACGAGCGGGCCGAAGTTCCTGAAGAGGAGCGAGATTGAGAGTCTGCTTAATGAGGCGGGGTTGGAGAAGCGGGAGATAGTGGTGAACACTATTGTCAAGGAGGCGAAGGATGGGGCGGCTATGGTTGAGTGGCTGGATACGAGTTCGTCGGGGAAGACGTATGGGGGGATTCCGCTGGACTTGAGGCCGCAGGCCAGGGAGGAGATGATGCTGGAATGGGCGAAGATTACTACAGAGGAGGGGATTAAGATGGATATGGAGTTGTTGGTCACGGTGGCCACGAAGAGTTGAGATTCACTCACTTCTAAGCAGGTTATCGGATTTCTAGAAAGGAATCAACTGCACCCCGGGTTTCTCTTTCAACCGCCAGAAGTAGTGATATTGTCCTTTAAAAAAACCTTGGCCAAGCAACTACACCACGTGCAATACAATTCTATAACCTGCTCTTCTCACGCTATGTGGCGTTATGCAGCTAATCCAGAACTCTCAAACATGCTCCCGTTCCCTTGCCCCGAACCGTCAATTATCGCCAGATCAAGAGAAAATACCAGGGTAGCAGTTACCTTGCTAGCTAGATCAAATGCCGAGAAACCCTCCAGGATTGTCGCATTCGCTCTTCTGCAGGTGATCATCGCGAAAAGCCCCATGTAAATGGAGCAAACATGCTCAAGCCCGCAGCCTATGCCCAGTTCCTAGCGCATAAGTGCTCTGCCAACATAGATTGATCAACAGAATCACTCCGAAAATTATCACATAAACTAAAGTTAGAATGGGTAGCCGTAGACGAGTTGAACATCATATCACGTCTTTGCTCACATATCGTTCCCTCGGAAGTGAATCGCCCATTCTCATTTATAGACGGAATCACCCCTGTTTAAAGGATAAAAACGTCAAAATAAAAATCATACAAACCTATCTCACACACACACTCTAGCATCACATCAACAAACTCATCAAGCATGCAGTTGAGGGTCTCCATTGTCGGCGCTGGCCCCGCTGGATTCGCACTCGCTGCCGACCTCGACTCTCGCGGGACAAACGTATTGGTATATTCACACCCCACGCATGTACGACACGCCAATTATGTCGTCCAAAACGGTTGTCTTCGAGCTACTGGAAAAATCGAAGGCTCTACTGCTTTGCGCGTCACCTACGACATGGCCGAGGTCATTGAGTTCTCAAAAACCATCATCCTTACAGTTCCGTCAACAGGGCAGGAGACTGTATTGCGGGAGTTTAAGCAGTTCGATCTACAACAGCACACTGTTATTGCTGTCCCAGGGAATTTATTCTCGCTGGTCGCCGATGCTGAGATCAAGGTCGGATCAATCCTCGAAACAAACCTGTCACCATACTCATGCCGGATGAAAGAAGGAGAGTTGGCCGTCATGGGCAAGAAAAACCTCTTCCTCATCGCCGCATTGCAAACATCCTCCAGCCCTTCCTTCACTGCCGAAATCCAGCGAATATTTCCTATGGAGCTAAAATGGTGCCACAACGTTATTGAAGTCTGCTTATCGAATATCAACGGGGTATTCCACCCACTGATGATGCTGATGAACGCTGGTCGTATTGAGAGCACATCTGGAGAGTTCCTACTATACCACGACGGGCTGACACGCTCGGTGGCCAACGCAATGCTTGCAGTTGACAGGGTGCGGCTCGAGATTGGAGAAGCGTTTGGGTTCAAGCTGGACGGGGTAACGCAGACGTCGAATAAGTGCTACAACCAGACTTTCACCGACCTAGTGGACCTGGCACAAAACTCACCCCCGCATAATAAGTTAAAGGCTCCGCCTACTATGGATAATCGAAATATTTCAGAGGATGTACCGGATCTATTGGTTTTCTGGTGTGGTCTGGCGGAGAAGTTGGGAATTGATGCGTCGCCTATTAAAGCGGTCATCACACTTGCAGAAATGGCGTCGGGCGCGGATTACATGAAGACGGGGAGGAATTTGGAGAAGTTGAATTTGGAACATCTTTCACGCAGCGAGCTTATCGAGCGATTTGGCGTTCCTCAAACGCAATAAAAAACAATAACAAATACTTAAAAAACTTCATTTTCAACATTTCCCAAATATAAACCTAACATCATAATTTAACCTTACTCCCCTTCCAACCCCTTATTCTCGCCCCATACACCCCAAACACCCACGGCATCGGCGCAAACGCCAGTGCCACAAATGCAAGTAAACTATTCCCCCACCCCCATCCAAGGCCATCATACATACGTAGCCCTGCAAGTGGAATCAGCGCGCCCGCGGTCCCTCTCAGCACGGCATTTGCACCAATCACACTAGCGGCGTACTCTTCGAATGCATCAACGAGGTACGTCTGGATGCCTACAAAGACTAAGATAGATCCGAACCCTGTGATTGCAGTTCCAATCTGTGGGATGATCCAGTGGACGTGTTCCTGTGCCGTCCAACCGTAAATGAATAGGCCGATGGGGAAGGTGAGGGAGCCTGGGATTGTGATGATGAAGGGGAGGCGGTCTTCAGGGGTGATTATCTTTCCAGAGGCTGCCCGCTTGACGAGAGTTCTGTCGCTGAAGTATCCGACATAGAAGAGGCCCACCAAGGTGCCAAGCCCACCGGCGAGGAAGACGAGGCCGGTTGATGCAGTTGTGAAGTCGTAGACTTGGCGGAAGACAAAGGAGTAGGTCGCGAATAGGAGGTAGAGGATGCCGTAGAGGATGGCGACATAGATGCACATTACTGTGACGATGGGACAGAGGATGAGCATTTTTAGGGGGCGGATGATGCTGTGTTTGAAGAGTTTCTTGGGGGTGAGGTCGGAGGCGAGCTTGGATTTGTGGTTTGAGTTTCCAGTGGCTTTTCGGAGTTTGAATGCTTTTCTCTCGAGTAATACCACAGGGTAGGTTTCTTTGAGGACGAGGAATGCGACAAGGGTTATTACAGCAATCTAGTAATGGTCAGTAAACAGTGCCCGTTCAGTTACTCAGGTCTGCTGTAAACTCACAAGAATAGAAATAGCCCAAAACATCCATCGCCAACCAGCAACCTCGGCCACATTCCCCCCAATAATGGGCCCAACCATCGGTCCCAGAATCGGTCCCACAGACCAAATCGATACAGCTTTCCCCCTCTTTTCTCTCGGCATGATATCCGCAATAGTCCCCGACCCAATCGTGATGGTAGCCACACCCGCAAACCCTGATAAAAAACGGAATGCCAGGAGCATAGATGGGTTTTGTGAAACGGCGCAGAGAATGGTGAAGGCGAGGAAGAGCAAATTAGTGGTATTGTAGATGATCACGCGGCCGTACAGCTCGCTCAGGGGGGCGAGGATGAGTGGCCCGCATGCGAAGCCGAGGACGAAGATAGACACGACGAATGTTGCGAATGTGGGAGAACTGGTGTTGAAGTCTTCCATTACGAGCTGGACGCCTGGTGCCATCATGGAGGAGACAAGCGGACTGTTGGGGGTTAGTTATTGCTCAAGTATACTGACTTATCAGCTGGCACGTATTGCACTCACACTATGAAACTAATCACAGAAATAACACAGATATTGACCCATTTCCGGGTTGACGACCAATTCATGGGATTATCTGGATCGTCTGGCCCATCCCACCATACGATGAACTCAGAGTGCAGCTCAACTGGCACGTCGCTCTCATTTTTCGAATTTGAGGATGATGATGAATTTACGCCATCATTTTCGTTCCCTTGATTGTTCTCATCAACGTACGAGTTGGAACCTCCTTCAACTTGCCCTTTCTCTGATCTCCCTGCTGAAAGATGGCAGGCGTGGACTCCCATGACGACTTCTTTGAGTCAAGTGGAGGCGGCACATCAGACTTCACGCCCCTAGATCTGGACAACGACAGTCCAGCTTGATTCGACTACTAAAAGTCCGGGCAGCGAAGAATATAAGTTAGCTATTTCACAGTCAAAAAAAGATAAACAGCTCAATTAATGGCTGGGTTTATGCGTGTTGACCAAAAATATGGTTGGATGTAACCTGGTTGGGCTCCAAAGTATTTAAGTGGGGGGTAGGTTATTTGTACTTTGGGTCAATAATTGTTAACAGGAGACCCATGTACGTAGTTCCACTGGCCCACCCGAGCGAGTGGCCCAGCTCATTTTAGGTGTAAAATGAGCTGTGTAAAATGAGCTGGGCCACTCGCTCGGGTGGGCCACTCGCATGTGAAATACGTTATATAATAATAACAAAAATAATAATCTACATTAATATTTTGTATGCCACCCATTGGCATCAATAACAGCTTCGTACGTTGACCATTTCGCGTCATTATTAAAGTATAAATCCGAAGACGTTCATCTCGTGTAGGCTCTTGCTGTAATATAACGCGTCACGTACGTACGAATGGTAAAGCAGCATAACATTCATTACTCGGGTTTTTATTGGACTATACTTCTACAAGGGGGCAGACGATCATTGCACGTTTAACAATTATTGACCCAAAGTACGAGTAATGTGCTCGATATGCCTCGTTCCCTTTCGAATCATGCACGACGTGCCGACCATGACAGATAGACCACAAATATTGCTCGCATCGAAAATAGTCTCCAGCAAAAGGATGAGATAATTGTAGCTAAAGCGACAAAAACATTGGTGCAACAAACGACAGAAACTACCGGGTATAAGACTCTTCAACTAAGTTCACCTTAAATCCGTCCTTCACGCAATCTATAACCTGCCTCGTAGCTTCATCCGCCATATTACCAGGACCACACACCACCACAGTCATCTGTTGACCCGTTTCCACATGGGATCTCATCACACTCCTGATATCCATCCTCCCCGCTGTTATAGCCGCCGGTGTTGGCTGAGCTGCGCCTTCGTCTTTCTGGCGCTCCTCATGAACATCGTCCACTTTTGGCTCCGCAGTATAAGAGGAACCCGTGCACCAGAATGAATACTCGATACCGTCAACCTCGTCTTTTGGGAGGAGGAAGTTATGCTTCACGTGTTCGATGAGAGCCATTTCCCTCGCAGACCAGGCGAGGATAAAGCGCTTTGCTTTCTTCATAATCCTCTGGCTCTTTGCCGACCCCTCACTTCCTCGGAGGTTCGCGCTTGAGTATTCTTGGACGAAGCCAAGGATGTTTGTGATACCGATACCGCCGACGATACAGAGAACTGTGTCGGCGATGAAGAGTGGCTGGAGGGTTGCTTTGTGGCCAGCATAGGGTCCCTCGGTATAGACTGATGTTGCCAGGCTAGCGCGAGATGGCGAAGATAATAGGCGGCGCTGCAGTGTGGAAGTCATTCCGGAATGTGCACGAATGAGGAATCGGATGTATGCCTTGCCCTGGTCCTGAGTTTCCGTGAGTGTTGTCGTCGAGTTTGGTTGCGAACCTAATGATATAACGCCCGAATCTTTCGCCTCTTCTTCTCTCGTGGCGCTGTCAGAACGAGCGATTGGGGAAGAAAGGGGATTCGAAGTCGAAGCTGTAGTGGGTGATGACTGTCCCTTCCAACCCGCAATACTGAATGGATGACTTTCCCAGAACTTACCCAGTCCAGCCACGTACAGGAAGCTGTGCTGTCCAGGACCAATGTCCCAAGCAGCACGTGGGAAGACAGTGACTTGCATGATATCGCAGTCGGGAATTGCTTCGATGATCGCCGTTGAACCACTGAGACGATTGTAGTAGGCCACGCGAGCAAGTCTAGCGAATCGGTCCGCAGCCCAGAAGGCAAAGGCGATGTAAAGCCATGTTTGATAGCCAAAGACATATCCGAAGTGGGGGATGAGATGGTACCAGCATCCAACCAGAGCGATAATGACAAAGATAATGTGAGTTATGAGAAATAATTCGTAGGATCTGATGCGGATCGGGAGGATTGCAAAGCCTGCTGCGAGACAAAGAGCTATTGTTGCGATAATTCCCCACCACTGAAAGGTGTCAGTAATCTCCATGGTACACAAATCGTCGACCAAAGGAACTATAACGTAGCAGAGGTTGAGCAACATACATAGAAAGGCATAGCTGCTTCAACAGCATACTGTGCCGCTCCACCATAGCCCGGCTCGAAATATGCCAGCGTATACGCAATTGAATGGACAACCGCCTGTAGTGCAGCCACCCTCGCCGTCCAGCGATGCAAGGTCAGGAAAGCCGTCTGATTCCATCCAGTCAATACAATTAAAAGGTTATTTCGGCCCGCGAACAAGATGGAAATGCACATGTTGACCAGGCTCAGAGTGCCCGTGCGATTCCCGACGTACTCACATAGTTCGAATTGACCGGATTTGAACCAGGTATTCGGCTGGGAGGTGCGGTAAGAAACGGACGAGAGGACTATGTTCAGGATGACGAAGATGGTGATGAATATGCTGAGCGTCCGGCTTGGCACGTAGCCTACATTCCCGGGGAGAGGTTCGAGCCGCCGTGACCCAAATAGAGCTGGCAGGAAGATGTCCTGCTGGAGCTTGGTCCAGAGAGTGGAGGCATGTAGCTTTGTCTGAAATCCGAGGGGTGCGCTTGTGGTCTGCGCCAGAATGCCGCCGCCAATGCAGATGCCAAGGACTATGAATAAGAGTATCACCCTGAAAAAAATCTGTGAGCCTCACGCCTGGATAATATGTAGAAGTTAACAAACACAGAGGGAAAGAACGTACGAATATCTCGTGTGCATATATTCCTGTCTTGTAAATTCCTTCAGAGTACCGTGTATGGAGCTGTAGGTGTTCTTATTGACCAAGCTCGTGATATTGAGCCACATTGCATCCTCTGAGAGCTCGACTGTCGGAGCCTTGGCAGGCAAACTGTCCTGAAAAGTTGGCTCTGATGCACCCGCACATGCTTGAGTACTGAAGCATTTGGCCTGTTTGTCGGCACTATACTCGTCCGCATTGCAGTTCTGTTGGATGCAGTATGCCATCGTCTGGAGCCAAGGGATGTTGGAAGTGTAGCACTCATCGCTAGTCATCGGCATCATGTCCATGGACGTATCCATACCCATATCCATTGGCATGTTCATGTCCATGTTACCGTCTTCGGGGAATGTGGTGCAATTCAGATAAAGGGCGGAAAGAGAGTCGTGACATGTCTGGCAGCAGAGGTCCTGATACAAGGACAGGCCGAAGCCCATGATACCACTCTCTACTGCACATCCATTCTGGATGATGCCGGACAGAGACAGGACAAAGAAGGCAATGGCGACACGCATGGCGGGCGAGTTTGTTCGTAGTTCGGCCAAAGAAGATAAATGAAGTATGCGCAATCTCCTCGAAGTGCTTCCAGAGCGGTAGTTAACGCTCTTTTAACTTCCAATATACATGAGGGTGCCAGCTCCTTGTCGGTCCTTTTACATACAGATTATCACCAGCTCGAATGGACCCTCCACCAAGTTGGTAGATGTCGGGCATACCCATACTTTATCTGTATCGACAAGCACTGTCGTCCCAAAAAGAAACGGAAACCGGCACCATTATTCTAGTATCAAGGTTAATCTCTAGGGTTAATACTGTATTTCAAGGGATAGTGGTTTGGGGTAAGAGAGGTATTGAGCAAGTTTTACGGGAGGAAGTTCGTTCTTGCGCACTTTTATAATGACTACCGACGTCTGCGGCATTTCATTGGATACCAAAATCACCAAAATCACCAAAATCATCCACAAATCATCCACAATCATCCACAATCATCCACAATCATCCACAATCATCCATGCAGCTTGGGTGAGAAAATGGTAGATCTTAGAGCCAACCATCTGCGGGCTTTAATTTAATTAATTGCTTGTTTAATATGGCTCCATATGGCTATTGTATATTAGTAATACGGAGCAATCAATTTTTAATCCACCGACGTCATGCACCCAGCGTGGTAGCCATGAGGACTAGGATGGCACGGCTGCACCTATTTAGCTCTTGGTGAAAATGCGCATCAACCAAGACTTATATGGGCTCAGCCTTTCCCATCTAACATCCAGTTGGGCTCATTCATCGCATGTAGCATGTTAATTTAACTAAATATAAGGAAGATTTTAAGACATTTAATAGATTATTTTTTCTATTTTTCTATTTTGTAGATATTACTTCTGTAAAAATGTAACGGGCCAGCCTCTTAGATTATATAGACAATACTGTCAAGGGGCAAGTGATTCAGGTACAAATGACACAAACAGACAGATACAACATTGACAACTGCTCGAATACAGATTTTTGTTTCACATAGCCCAATCACATCTTGTTAGAACTGCGTTACTAGTAGTACGCTGCACATGCGTAGCCTGTATACCAACTGTGTATATATAGGGGCTTCGCCCCCATAGTTTTTCAATCAAGTCGTCAAACTCCAATATGTGTTTAACAGATTATGAGCCTAGGACACAAAGTTGTTCTATAACCAGAAGAAGGCTCTATTTTGAGCTAGGTGATCCTCCGCGGCTAGGAATTAGAAACCCTGACTGAAACCGCTAATGCTAGCATTAGCGGTTTCAGTCAGGGTTTCTAATTCCAGCGAACGGTGGTCAGTGTACACGTCAACTCGGTGGCGCACCGAAGCCAACTCGGGCCTCCATTTTCCGAAGGCCTTTACTATTGCGAATAGTTCCTTGTCGTGGATCTCCCAATTGATCTCATGTCCGGATAGGACATGACTGTAAAATCTTACGGGGTACCATCACTTGTCAGGGTGTTCTTGAGACAGGACACCAGCTACTACTCCATCAGAGGAGTCGGTCTCCAGCTTCATAGGCAATTCGGGGTTGAAGTGGTGAAGTGCCTGTACCGCTAAAAGTTATCGTCGCAATTCCTCGAACGCATCCTCACATTCGTCTGTCCCGGAACGGCTCCGAGGGACTAGTGATGGTGGTGAGGGGCTTTGCTATTTTGCCAAAATTACGAATGAATGTCTATAGAAGCCACAGAATCCCAGGTAGGACTTCACACCCGTAACAGTGGTCGGTCGGATCCAGTTACGAAGGGGTTCAATTTTGTCAGGGTCCGCTTCGACACCGGAGGTAGTGAGAACGTAACCCAAGTATTTTGTCCTGGTGACATTGAACTCGCATTTGTTCAAATTGGCTTGGAGTCCAGCTTCTCGGAGACGCTGTAGGACCTTATGCACATGCTCTATGTGTTCCGTAGGGTCCTCTGAATAGATTAGGATGTCGTCTAAGTATGCGCTACAGAAGTCGTCTAAGTATTGCATCAGGATGTCATTCATATACTGCTGATAGGTTGTAGGACCGTTCGTCAGTCCAAATGGCAGCACTTTGCACTTATAGGATCCATAGCGAGTCCGAAAGGTTGTGTACTCTTCCGAGTCAGGGTGCATCCATATACGATGGAAGGCTTGTCTGATATCTAGCTTTGTGAAGATTTTTGCTTTTGACACCCGTCCTAGTAGTTCGTCGATACGCGGGATGGGGTAGGGATCGTTCCGGGTGAGACCATTTAACTTCCGGTAATCGATGCAAAATCTTAATTTGCCATCCGCTTTCTTTACGAATAGGATAGGGGACGCGAAGGGGCTGTTGCTGTTGACGATGAATCCCTTTTCCAGGTTTTCCAGCAGGTATTTCTTGGTAGCCTTAAGCTGTTCGGTGCCCTGTTGATACAACGGGGAGAAAGCGTTTGGTAAAGGGGCTTCGAGTGTATCTTGTGGTCGTATATGCGGTGGGGGGGAATTCGATCCGATTCCAACTTCGAAAAGACATCGGTGTACCTCTGGTGCATATGCGGAAGCTTCTGCTGGATGAGGCGGAGCGTTTCTTCGTCCTCTACCAACTCCTTTTCATGAATGATCTGATCGATTTCGTAGATGCTAGTCTGAAAAAACTCAGAGTCGTTTCGCATCATCTCGTGGTGGAAAGCATTTGCACTGATTTCGCATATATGCATGGGCATAAACCTATGTACTAGGGTTTTCTGCGGTGGGGGAGAAACCTCCTGGTTTCGTAGTGGGTTCGATGGCGTATCGGCGATCTCTTCGTAGTCGGAAGTTATCACTTTCATTTTCATCGAGCATCCACCTGCGCGGCGTCTGTCTTCGCGGTGGATTGCGAAATCCCGGCGATTCGCATCCGACTGGTATGCAGGATGTTTAATGGACGTTTCGCGTGAGTGGTAGGGCAAGGTGATCTCCTTGCTCCAGCTAGGAGTCGGCGGGTACTCCCAGCTCTTTGCAGAGTCAAGTAGTATTCAGAAGCGGCTGAAAAGCTTCTTCCCAATTATCACATCTTGTGCTCCGAGGTCCAGGAGTACAAAGGGGCAGTTATATATTCGGCGTCCTTCGACTGTTAAGTGTAACCGAATATACTCCGATACGTGGCCTTGGATTTTACACTGAAATCCACGTATGGGTACAGAGTAGGGTAGTTTCCTTATAGGGCTCTGAAGCGCTTTTGACAGTCGTATTGCGAAAGGCTTGTTAAGGTAGCCGTTTGCTCCTGTGTCTGCTAGGGACTTCGTTTGCACCCCGAGTCCATTCATACTCAGGGTAATGTCGACTAAGAACTGGGTGCCTCCCAGGAGTTCTTGTAAGTCTAGTCCTCGCAGGTCACATTTGCGTAGACCTAGCAAGGAGCCTTCTCCTAGGCCTTGTCGTTTTCCTCGAGGGACGCATCCGATTGAAGTTCCATAGCTTCTTCCCATTGTTCTTCTGCCTCGGGGTCATTACGATCCATTTCCTTGATAGTAGTGTTAAGGGGGCATTTGTCCTGGAAATGGCCAGACTTGCCACACTTGAAACAGTTTCCTGAGGGCGCAGGGACTGCGGTTCTCAGACGTTCTGGTATGGCTGGCTTGGGGAGGAACGCGGTTCGGGTGAACAGAGCGGATGTGGCTCGAGTCGGCTTCGACGCCGACGGCGCCTTTGCCGTATCCGAGGTACGTGTGGACGTCCTGCGAGAGCGGGTAGCGGATTCAATTCGTTGTTCCGGCGCCGTTCCTGGTCGAAGGCGGTAAGTTCTCGTACCATGGTCTGGTATTCTCCATTCCATTGGTTTTTGATGATCGCGACACGGCTGCAGAATTGGGGAGTCAACTTGTTCCACATGTACCGAAACCATTCCGACTCGGAGACTTGTCCTGTGATAGCTGCACTTTGGAAACGAGCCTTGAACTCTGGGAAGGTTTCGCTAGCATGCCCATTCTCTCCCATTTGCAGGTCGTCGAAGAGGTTCCTGGCCTGTTCCGTCTCATTGCCTGTGAGGTAGTATGAACCTAGTAGATCCATCATCTCCTCAGCACTGCGGAACCCATGCGTAGCGGACAGGTATTGGGGCTCTATGTAATGGTGGGTGCACCAGATGTGAGAATCTAGCCACCCAAGGAAGGGATGATTTTACTAAGACAACACACTGTCTTAGGAAACAGAGCCAAAGGGTTGTAGCTTAGACTATTCCACAACGCAGCAATCAGGTGTATGATGTGGTGAAGTGGTTGAGACAAGTTGCAACAAATGTTGAGTCTGAGAACTCAGGGGTAAGTCAGAGGTTAGCACCTCACTGACTTTTCAAAAACAGAGAATAACAAGATCAATGCTTGGAAGCTTGGAAAAGACATGGAGGTATGTGATAGTCGATTTACTGTATTGCCTGCTTGCCCTTTCTTAAGGAAAGGGCAATCCTATTTATGCCAAAGGAGTGTAGTTCTCTCATTTTCCAAGACTTTCCATGACTAACCAGGCTTGGTATATGTATTAGAAATCAAGTGCGACCCACAACTAGCTTGCTAATCATGTAGCGAATGTAAGAGAATCCCATAGAACCATCTCTTGGGTTCCTAGCCTATAGGAAGTGAAAAGGAGGTCCAAGGTCAGAGTACCTATAGATAAATTATGTCATAACTTAACCAATCTTGTGGGTAACTAAGGAGCCATGACGTGTAATGAATCATAGAGGGTTGTAGAAGCTTCTAGAGCTATCGTTCATGTTCCTAGGCCTCTAGTTGGTAGAGATATGCCATGTGGTAGTATTGGCCCACCCCCTTAAGGAGGAGATTTTCTTAATAACTTGTTCAATGAGTGTCCAAATGATATGCCATGATGTATGTAGCATAAACAGATGTAGTAGAAGAATTTGCAGCAATCGTTGAGTAGTATTGCTTCTGTTGTTGGTGTGATAAGCCAAGATATGTATGGTGACTTGTAGGTTTGAGGAGGAGATTTCTAAGTTTGCTCTTGAGTTTGATAGCAAACTGGGTGCAATAAATGTCAGTATGACACTCTAGGTAGGTCTTCGCCAGGCCGGTCGTAGTTCCCCATATCAACGCTCTTCTCGAGACGTCGGTAAGATAGTGGTCCTCATTGACTACGAGTCAGTCCCGAATCGAAGCGCTCCATTGTAAGAAGGTATGTTCTACCCCATCGCTGAGAGGAAGGATTTTCTTAGAGATGGTTGATTTCTTATAGCGATTCGGAGGGTCCTCGGTGTGCATTCGTGATGACCCTGGAATCGAGGGAGAACGAGTGTTCCGAAGAGGCAGCAATTGAACTGTCTCGGGGGTGTTTCGTGTACGAGGCGTTCGTTGCTCCGTAACTTCGACTGTGGGTATGGGGGCGTCCACCGGCAGTGTGGACGGGATTCTGGTCTGGGATGCCGACAGGATAACTAGTAGATCCTTGACCTCCTGTATCTGTGCTTCGAGGTGGTCCATTTGACTCGGGATATCTTCGGATGGCCCAGCGGTCGTAGCTGCAGTGGTGGTTTGTCTGGTAGTCATTCTGGGCAGTTGACCGTCGTTGTCTTGGGGTATGTTTGATGTCGGCTTTTTCGACATATTGCCTCAGGTGTGTATCGGTACCGATATAAAAGAGCTTGACTTCCGGTAGCTCGTAGCTATCAACGCTCTTGTCCACAATTTCCTCTGTGCTATGAGGGGGTTCTTAAGGATCTCGTATCCTATTTGGCGCCAACGCGTCAGCGACTTTACCAGCTTGTTCTGAAGAATCAAACCCTGATCCACTGGCTGTCCGTGAGATCTCTGGAATCACGGCTATTTGAAGTCGTCAGGTCTCTCCTCTGAAACGTCACCGAGTCGCAGTCGATGGTGTAACGGTAGTTCTCCCGAGTCGTTCCGGTGTGGGATATTATTTAAGTACGGCCGTCCCCGGCAGGCGTGATATTTTTTGTATAATGTAAGGACACAGGGCACCCAGCTCACAGTAATAGCATATGAGAGTGCGAGTCGGAGGCTAAACGGATGCGATCCTATAGGTCTACTATGAAGGATACAAAAAAGATGATGGGGAACCCTGTCAGTCGATTTTCTCAAGTATCCGAAACCCATCCGACTCAGTTCTGACTCGGTTAGGCCACCCAAATGATCACACGTGACCCCGCAGCTACCCGGAGTCCACTCCCTAGAATGACAGACGAGAAGGCATCCTTACACAGACGAGAAGGCATCCTTACAAGCACGGCCCAGGATGCCAAGCTACGAAGATTTTACCCTGCCCTCATAGATAGATCCGTAGAAATAGATCCATAGATAATATACCAATTGATATTTCTACCAGAATGAGCGACTCTGAGCTATCCGCAATTCCAAGTGACGAAGATGAGGAAATTCAGCGTCTACCACCCCCTTTTCCATTCGAGTCTTCGCTGTCGATAGCTCTACCATTACTACAAATACGGCCACAACTCCCAAATACTCAGTCACCATTGTTCTTAAAGAATGTATTCAGTAGAACATTGTTAAGCACCAGCCCTGCAACGATGAAGATTGTCTGTATGCAAGATGGCTGTAATTATAAGCCAAAACCGAAGCTTTTATCATGGAATATCATGAGTAATTTGTGGAGGCATGTTGAAAGGATGCATCCTGCATTATACGAAGCTATAAAACCAGGAACTCCATTGCTATAGCGTGCTCAGAGTTCGCAGAGTCAGAGTTCGCAGGATTCGCAGGGCACTCCGAATATGAGAACAGCCCGAAACGCCCAATAATTCTTTACTCCTCGAGTAGGAGGATTCGTTCTTGCCTCTCGATATAGAGAGTTATTACTTGCATTTATCTAATAACTTACCAATGAGTCTGGTTGATCAGCCTTCGTTTCGTCAGCTTATTCACCAGCTTAGCCCTTCAACATTAGCTATATCAACGAGCTCCTTAATGCGCGATTTACACAAGACATTCTGCAACCACTGTATGAAGCTACAGATAGAACTCATATAATAAAGGGCGGACTGTTATCACTTACGACTGATTCATGGTCTGCAATGAATGGTGCAGAGCACGCTGTGATAACTGTTCATTGGATAAATAACACCGGCACTGTGTTCTTGATATCATACATCTAAAGGAGCCCATTCATTCCGGTGAATATCTTGCAGAGCAGCTTCAAGCTGTTACGGACGACTTTGATATTACGAACGGAGTCTTTACAATTACTAGAGACAACGCATCGAACAATACAGCAATGCTCGCAGAGTTTGAATAGGGGCATGCACGAGCGTCGTTTCTATACAGCAACCATGGAGCTTTACAGTAAAGGAAGGCAACGTCTGATGCATGGCACACATTATAAACCTTGCAGTTCAAGCAGCTTTAACTATGTTAAAAGCTGTACCATCAGAACAAACGGAATTGTATAGGCTTAAGCAAGGCTTAGCTCATACTCAAGGCTTCGTTCTTAATAAAGAAGAAGTGGCAACGGTTCTTATAAAACTACGCCGGCATATCTATGTCTTCCAGAACCGTCGAGCATGGAAAGATGCATTGAAAGTACAAGCATCTGCTATGGGTATTCAGGTGGTTTCAATGTCCCTCGATATGCCTGTACGATGGAACTCAACATATTATATGCTTGAGAACACTTTGAAGCTTGAGCAGCCGATCAATGCTTTATGTGCTTCGCAAACGATGGATTTAAGTATGCGTGATATTATCATTACATCAATAGAATGGCAAGTGTTACATGGACTAAAGGTGTTCTTTAAGATATTCGTCAAACCAGCAGAGCAAGTTCAAGCAGATAATTATCCAACGTTGAACGTCTGTATTCCACACTATCTACGGCTTTTAAATAAGCTTAAGGAAATGGAAAATGCTCCATTGACAACAGCAGCAATCAGTGCAGCTTGTAAAGCATCGTATAATAAGCTTGATACTCATTATAACCTTGTGACAAATCAAGGCTCAAGCCACTCATCAATTGCTACTATCTGCGACCCAAGATTCAACTTAAGTATATACGGATTTTATATGCCAAAAGTGTAGACGCTGTAAAACGAGATAGGGCAAGAGCACAGTTCGCAGCTTGCTATAACCGGTATAAAGACCGTGAGAACGATATACAGGTTGCTGCTATTGAAGCTACTATTGCTGCTGAAACTGAGCAGCCGACGACTCTAAGAGAACTTGATTCCGACGACGAGATGTAGCAGCATCGTGGGCCTTCTATTGAGGAAGTTGAGTGGCGATGATGGTTCAAAGAGAATGGTGTCGACCGTAATACTAATATCCTCAAATATTGGCAGGCAAAGCAGTATCAGTATCCAGTTATATCACGGATCGCACGGGACTATTTGGCAATTCCAGCCTCATCGGCAGCGTCAGAGCGTATATTTAGTGTCAGCGGTGATATAGTCACAAAGAAAAGGAACAGGTTATTACCTTCAACTATTCAATATCTACTCTGCCTATGGGATTGGGGGGTTATAGTGTAATGGTGGGTGCACCAGATGTGAGAATCTAGCCACCCAAGGAAGGGGTGATTTTACTAAGACAACAAACTGTCTTAGGGAACAGAGCCAAAGGGTCATAGCTTAGACTATTCCACAACGCAGCAATCAGGTGTATGATGTAGTGGAGAGGTTTAGACAAGTTGTAACAAATGTTGAGTCTGAGAACTCAGGGATAAGTCAGAGGTTAGCACCTCACTGACTTTTCAGAAACAAGGAGTAATAAGATCAATGCTTGGAAGCTTGGAAAAGACGTGGAAGTATGTGATAGTCGATTTACTGTATTGTCTGCTTGCCCTTTCTTCAGGAAAGGGCAATCCTATTTATGCTAAAGGAGTGTAGTTCTCTTATTTTCCAAGACTTTCCATGACTAACCAGGCTTGGTAGCTGTAGTCGACGTAAGAGAATCCCACAGAACCATCTCCTAGGTTCCTAGCCTATAGGAAGTGAAAGGAGGTCCAAGGTCAGAGTACCCCTATAGACAAATTATGTCATAACTTAACCAATCTTGTGGGTAACTAAGGAGCGATGACGTGTAATGAATCATAGAGGGTTGTAGCAATCGTTGAGTAGTATTGCTCTTGTTGTTGGTGTGACAAGCCAAAATATGTATAGTGACTTGTAGGTTTGAGGAGGAGATTTCTAAGTTTGCTCTTGAGTTTGATAGCAAACTGAGTGCAACGAATGTCAGTATGACATATAGGCGACGAGGAGGAGGATAATAGCGAGTAGACAGTTATCATATTTCATTACTATATACTACAGTTGAGCCTCAAAATACTCGAATACTATTCGGCGAGGATTCGTATGAGTATTCGCCGAATACTCCCAGATGGCGAGTATTCGGGAAAACCCCGAATACTATTCGAATACTATTTGGGGAACTGGTTTTCAAGAGCCTCAAATACAATCAATGAGGACCGAGCGCAGCTATTGCCAGACACAGTACAAGCGCTCGAGTGTATCAGGTCCCCCCCCCCAATTCACCCATCCCTCCCCCATCCATTACAGCTACAATAAGCAATCCCCACTCCCGCCCCTTCCCCCTGCGTAGTACCAAAATTCAAACGCCAGAATATGATAAAAACGAGCCCCTCCCTGTACACCGTCACCACCACCTTCCTGCGCCGCGAAGTGGGGAGTCGTCGAGTATCCGTCATCATCGAGAATTAGATGGTTCAAGGGAGTGATCAGCTAACAGAAGAAGCAGCAGCAGTCAACAGATCCGCAGCATTCATCCCGCTCAGATCGCCGTTGATGCCGAAGAATTGGAACCTACAACCACTTATTAGCCACTTCTTATCATCCAAACCCCCCCCTCCCCCCAAAAGAAACCCCCCAAAGGTAAAAAAATAAAAAGGGGAGACGACATACCAATCCTCAACATTCAACGTAGCCGGCACAGCCGTAGCACTACTCCAGCTCTCACTCGGACTCTGCCCTTGCCCCCCTTGGGTATCAAACCCCTGCCCCATCCCTCCCCACTGCGCCGCCCCATTACCCGGAGGATACAACCCCCTCATCCCCACATCCCCTTGTCCGCCTTGCCCGCCTTGTCCGCCTTGCCCGCCTTGGCTGCCTAAACTCCCCATCCGTCCCCCCATACCACCCGCAGCTGAGGGACTCCCCCATTGCGCACCAGCCAGGGGGGGGGGGAGTTCTGTATCCCCACCACCCCGCTCCCCTCGGGGAAGAGTTGGTCGGGTTGGAAGTTCTCCCACAGCGCCTGGCTAATACTCGGGCTATTGCGGGTAACCAAATACAAATCCGGTGGCGTAGCCGGGACAGAAAAGGAAGGGTTAAACGGCGTAGGTGGACGCGTGTGTGGACGCGAGGATGTGCCGCCCATGAATGTATCTTGTGCCTGCCCCTGCTGCTGCTGCTGCAACTGCGACGCCGCCTGCTGGCGCGGTGAGAGGATAGGGGGTGGTGCGCCCATGGCAACTGTGGCGGTTTCGCGCGCGGGTGTTTGCGGGCGGGAGCGCTCGTAAGATTCTTGCGGGGCGAGGCCGTTGGACGGGGCGAATTCGAGGGCCATGTCGTCGTATTTGCGTTTTGTGTCTTCTGGCCGTCGTTCTTGTTGTTCTTGTTGTTGCTGTTGTTGCTGTTGTTGCTGTTGTTGCTGTTGTTGCTGGGCAGTGGTGTGGAGTTTCCCCCAGGTCTGCTGGGTCTTTTTGTGTCGTTTTCCTGCGGCCTTCTGGAGTCGCTCTTCGAGTACCTTGTTCCCGAGGATGGATTCAAACAGGGTGTAGACCATTTTGGCCACGACCCACACGCGAGAGACGTCCTTGAGACCGTCCATACAGATGCGTATACGCTCCTGCGTCTGCTGCTGCACCGCCGGGACCGACGAGCGGTTCTGGTAGACGTGCATGATCAGCGCCGAGAAGAGGGAGTACACCATGAACGCCGGCGCAAACTGGAGCTCATTATGTGCGCGCAGATTCGCAATGATGGACGTAATCATGCCCGCAGCCTGGAACGCGATGTTGCGACTCGGGTACGCGGAGTCCTCGGGAAACCCGCCGCGGGTGGAGGTGGCGGGGGGCATGTGGGCGCGGTGCAAGAGGCAGAGGGTGGTGTAGTAGTTTGAGTGGAGGAGGGCGGACCAGAATTGGTGGCGGGTGGGCTCCCAGTAGACGTCCTTGGGGCAGTTCTGAAGCCAGTCTGCGAGGGCCATGTCGGAGTGGGTGAGGTCGATGGCGTTTTGGCGGCGGGCTTTGGAGGCGACGCTGTATTGTTGTGAGAGGACTAGGCCCATGATTTCGCAGAGCTTGACGTACTGGAGGAAGAATTGGACGTGCGTCTGGTCGGGGGGGTACTGCGGGTTGGGGTTGTCGTCTTCCTCTTCGATGAAGTCTTCCTCGCAGAGCATGTCGACGTCCGAGTCGTCGGTGTTGATATGCACGGGCCGGCCCAGGGCAACGGCTACCGAGCGATCACGTGTGAACAGCGTCCACCAAATGCGCTTCCACAGCTTCTTATCCGTAGCACTGAGCTGAGACTGGTCGACGCTGCGGTGCATACCCGACCCCTGCGCGACGATGGTGGCGACACGACTCCAATAGAAGACGTTGCGTGTGACGTCCTCGGGCCCCTCCCAGTACCACCCCATCAGCACGAGGGCCTGCACGATCGTCACGCGGTCGTCCTCGTAGTTGGCGTCGTACAGCGCCTTGGCGCGCTTGTAGAACGTCATGGCGGCGGGCGTGGTGGAGCCCTGCGAGTCCATGAGCTGCGGGTTGACGCACACGCGCGACCCGGCGAGGAGCATGGACTGCAGCAGCAGTAGCGACGGCGGGTTCTTCGGGTCCTGGTACTGCCGCATGAAGCGCGTGCGGTTAATGACGGGCACGATGGGCGCGACCCACTTAAAGTAGGACTCGACGAGCTCGTCGCAGAGGGAGCGCGGCGGGAGCAGGAAGGCGCCGCGCTGGTGCAGGATGTCGATCTCGACGTCGTCGAGGTCCGTTAGGCGCGAGCGAGCGCCGCGCACGTTGTCGGGGAGGGGGTAGTGGACGACGTCGGCGCTGCCGTGGCGGTCGTGCACGAGCAGCGTCAGGTTGGAGGACTCGCCGAGGTAGGCGACGCGGCCGGCTTCCTTGATGGGTGCGCGTGAGAACTTGGGCTTCATGAAGTGCAGGTAAATGCCTTCATCCTGCTCGGCCTGCCGCGCCTGCGACTCGCTGACCTGCGTGGTCGGCGTGCCGCTCGGGGCGACGAAGTTCCCAGAGGAGTGTGGTGGCGGCGCAGCATAGCCGACGCTGGCTAGGGATTCAGTTCCTGGTGACGGGGCTTCGGCTGTGTCACCGCGGTCGCTGGAGGACGTCAGTATGCGTACCCCCCTATACTTGGTGCAGCATGCATCAACGTACCTATCCGAGTCCTTCAGGCGCGTGCTGCCAGCAGCAGCAGCCTGCGTCTTCTTGCGCTTTGGCGTCGGGATCTTGCATTCGATGGAGAAGGCTACGCAGTTTGTGCACGGCACGCCCAGGCTTGCTGCATCGCAGCGGACCTAACATCATCGTGTCAGTCGACCAGCCCATGCGGATGATACGTACATGATGATGTGCGACGGGGGCAGGCTCGGCAGTCGGGCACGTAGATGTATGTTTATACGTGTGATAGTATGCCGTCGACGAGCCTACCCAGGGCCGTCGTCAGGGAGGGGGGAATGAGAGGCTCAGGTAAGTGGAAGGATGCAACGTACTTTTCTCGCATGGCATGTCTGTAATAGCAGTAGAAACTCTGGTCAGCAAGCTATTCCGCAAAGTAATTGTTGTAATGTACCCCCAGAGGTCGAGGTGAGTGTAGATGGATGGATAGTTGAACCAAAAAAATCCGTCCTCGGTGCCTCGGCACAAGAACACCAAAAGCAAGCAGTGCGCAGCATGCCAATGACGATTACAAAAGGCTACTCGCCCCCCGCCAACCCATGAAAACGACGACCGCATCGGGATTTCGACAGTCGGGATTGATTGAGAGGAAGGTGGCGCAGGAATTCTAAAATAAATGGAAGCATACCTCGCAGGCTCTCGACGCTCGCTGTCTGCAAATGGAAAATCACGAATCAGCCAAAGCTCTCTTCTCTCTCTCGTGTGTCGTCGGTGTTATCAAGCTTTGGCGCACACACATGAAGCTCATTCTATGAAGCAATACACAGCGGGAGGGAGAGGGAGGGAGGGAGGGGTATCGCGACGCACCTCCTAAAACTCGGATGTCCGGGCGTCTGGTTGTTGGGAGCGGCGTTGCTGCCCTGTGGTGGCGTGGCAGCGGCCATGGAAGGGGCGCGCGCGACGGCGAGGTCGTGGGTGTGGTCGATGGATGCCATATGGCCGGTGGGGATAGAGTTGTGGATGTTCGCGCTCATGCGCTGAGGATGGGCGCGGGGAGTTGGGAGGGAGTGTTGTTGTGGTTGTGGTGGTGGTGGTGGTGGTGGTGGTGGTGGTGAAGAAGGTATGTATGTGATGGGTGATGAAGAAGGTATGTATGCGATGGGATTGTAAGAATGGGTAAGAATAGTATGTATGTGATGGGATTGTAGGGGAAGGTATGTATGGGGATGGGGGGATGGGGGGATGTCGAGGTTGGAGATGGGAGGTAGGGAGGTGGGTGGAGTTGGAGTGGAGGTGGAGGAGAGGTGGAGGAGAGGTGGAGGAGAGGTGGAGGAGAGGTGGAGGAGAGGTGGAGGAGAGGTGGAGGAGAGGTGGAGGAGAGGTGGAGGTGGAGTTGGAGTTGGAGTTGGAGTTGGAGTTGGAGTTGGAGTTGGAGTTGGAGTTGGAGTTGGAGTTGGAGTTGGAGTTGGAGTTGGAGTTGGAGTTGTGGGTGGTGGTCGTGTGTGGTGGTGGTAAGTTCGTTCGATATTCGTCCTTCTTCTTCTTCTTCTTCGCCGTCGTAACCGTTGGTGGTGTGTGTATATACTGTATATACTGTGTGTGTATATATTGTGTGTATATATTGTGTGTATATATTGTGTGTATATATTGTGTGTATATATTGTGTGTGTATATACTGTGTGTATATATACTGTGTGTATATACTGTGTGTGTATATACTATAATGTGTGTATATACTATAAGCGTAGATGAAGGATTGAAAGAGAAGCGAAAGTAGTCCGGTCCCGTTCGGCGTCGGCGTCGGCGTCGGCGTGGTCGTCTCGTCTCGTTCTGGACCTTTGGACTTTTTGGTGTCTTTGGACGAGAGATGAGAGCGACAAGAGCAACAACCCCGGTTTTCTACGGTGGCGGTGGTGTTGGGTGTTGGGTGTTGGATGTTGGGTGTTGGGTGTTGGGTGTTGGGTGTTGGGTGCCTTGAGGGGTCACTTAGGAGGTGGGGGGGGAGTGATGGCATGGGGGGGGATGGGATGGGGGGGAGGGAAGTATGGTGGTAGTGGTGGTAGTGGTGGTAGTGGTGGTAGTGGTGGTAGTGGTGGAGTGGTGGAGTGGTGGAGTGGTGGAGTAGTGTAGAGTAGCGCTGGTAGTGGTATGTACATGGTGGCAATTAGTGCATTTAGTGCATTTAGTGCATTTAGCATTTAGTGCATTTAGCATTTAGTGCATTTAGTGCATTTAGTGGTGGCGAGGCATGGAAAGGAGTCGTCGGGGGGGGATGGAAGTACCCGTGTGTCAGGTGTAGAACTATCTGCAGATATATCTACAACTATCTACAACTATCTACAACTATCTACAACTATCTACAACTATCTACAACTATCTACAACTATCTACACTATCTACAACCATCTACACTATCTACAACCATCTACACTATCTACAACCATCTACAGCTATCGGTAGAATACCTGCACAACCATATACCCTCTCCCCACATAACCCTCCGATCGAGCCACACTCCGAACCACGCTCCGAGCCACAAACCAAACCACACTCCGAACCCCAAACTAAACCCCACCCACACAATCCCCATAACAAAACAGTCCTATAAACAACCGTCCATAAATAACCGTCCATAAACAACTGTCCTATAAACAACTGTCCCATAAACAACTGTCCCATAAACAACTGTCCCATAAACAACTATCCTATAACCCCCAAAATACAGTATCAACAACTGTCCTATCACTCCCAAAATACAGTATAAACTCTCCCAGTCATCGCGATAAAACAGAGTTACCCCCCCCTTCCCCACGCATAACACCACACCCTCCCGCCAATCTCCACCAGCCCAAACAACCCCACCCAAGTTTCAGCCTTAGGTGGTGCTAGGCGCTGGGCGTCGCGGAGAGTCCGGGGAAGATGCCGAGGTAGGATTCCTGGTTTCTTTGCATGGCCCGGCGCGTAGGCCTTTCCGTGCTGCGCTGGTGGCGCCGTCGTGGGTGTGGGGGGGTTTGGGGGTCCAGCAGTACGGAGTACCAACTCGAGAGTGGTACTCATGCAATTGGTGTGGTGCATTATATTATGTCCTGCTAGTGTTGTAGTCTAGTTGTACATCTTCATCTCCGCCGCCGTCTTTGCGGCAAGATGCGCGAATCTCCAATCCCACCCCCCCCCCCCCCAACTTCTCTCTTCTCTCTTCTCTCAACCACCACCACCACCATTCGCTTTTCTCCTCCCTCACCACACCCCCCCCTCTCCTCCCTCACCACACCCCCCCCCCTCTCCTCACAACCACCACCCTCACCCATCAAACCTCCACCCCCCCCACAAAAACCTCACTAACCCCCTCCAACACCGCCACAAACACCCCCAACAAACTCGCAATAACAAAATGACTAATCGTACTCCCAATCTCCAACCAACTCCCCTCATCCCTCACCGTCCAAAAAAAGTGCACCGTCAAGAAGTCCGCCACTCCCATCACCAACATAAACAGCGCACTCGGCGCCACTCCCAGCCTCTTATTCAGTACCCCCAGGTTCGCCGAGATCAAGGCGAAGGGGATGAGGAGCTTTAACAAGAGGAGGCCGCCTTGCGAGAAGGGGTCGAAGACGGGGAGGAGCCGGTACACGGAGACGAGGCTGAAGGAGGAGATGGAGGCGATGTTGCCGGTGGAGAAGAAGGCGGATTGGAGGAGCGCGAGGAAGAAGAGGGAGACGCGGACGTCGGGGAGGGAGAGCGAGCGGTGGGGGTTTGCCGCGAGAGACGGGGGGAGGAGTGCGGCGGGCTCCACGGCCTTTCCCTTGCTCTTTGCTTTGGGCTTGCCGCCCTTGGACTTTGATGCGGTCGTCGTGGTCTTCGATGGCTCTGGTGATGCCGTGACGGCGGGGGGGTTGGAGGAGACGTAGATTTTATGCTCCATCCTCACCCACGTCACCAGCAAGACGCAGAAGACGAAGTAGAACAACCCCTCGTACGAGATCGATAAGATGACGAAGATGGGGCTGAAGGTGAGGAATAACACCACCAGACGGTGGAGGTAGTGGTTATTCGGGCTCAAGTGGTGCATGAACGGCATCACCAGCGAGAGAACTGCGGTTATTAGCCCTGTGAGCGATAGTGCTTGAAAAAGGGGGGGGGGGGGGTGTTAGCCCGCTTGCTTCCCCGCCGTACTAGTGGGGGAGACACAGTAGAGGACGGGTGGCTTGCCGGCCGTGGGGGGTTAGAAAGTAGAGACGTACCGAGAATAGTCCAGCCTAGCACCTGTTCGCCGCGGGGAAGGCCCTGTTTAGCTTGTAGTGAGAGGGCGGAGGAGCGTGTTACGATCATGGAGAGGATTATTAGACCGATCTAGCGTGTTTTAGCTTGTGTGTGCGGGGGGTGCGGGGAGTGCGGGGAGTGTGGGGTAGACCGAGGTGACTGGGGTAGGGGGGGGTAGAGGTAGGGGGTGGTGTGGGGGTATGAGGCGACAAACCTGGACTCCGATCATGATGCGCGACATGGGGTTTGCGGGCCGTGTAGTCGGGTTCTCGCCGTCCAGGGCTGAGTTGCGGAGGAGTCGGTACTCGAAGAAGAGGTAGAGGAGGCCGACGATGACCATGAGGGAGCCGCCGTAGAGACTAGGGTTGTTAGCGTTTGTTCGGGGGATGGAGAGGGGGAGAGCATACATCTGGGTTATGTCCTCGACCTTGACAACGGGGAGTAAGGTGAATGTGCTCATGGCGAGACAGGCAGCGATCCAGGTGAAGATGAGTAGGCGGTTTTCGCTCATGAACTTCGAGCCGTAGAAAAAGGGCCAGAGGGCTGCGAGGACGAAAAGGCCGGAGAATACCTCGCGGTGCGTGTAGCCCAGCGCCTGTCATAATTAGCCACCGCCCCATTCATCCATACAAGGATCTGAAACTCACCAATGCCTCCAAAAACACCATCGCCAAAACACCCTGTACCAAAACAGCAGCCCACCCCCCAACACCCTTCACCTGAGCAAACAGCGCCTTCCTGCCCGCCGCCAACGACTTGCGGCGCGCATACACCTCCTCCCAGAATGCCACGGGGAACGCAGCATACAGATAATACATGGTTGGGCTCTTCGACGCCATAAACGACGCACACAGCGCGACCAGCACGCTGGCGAAGAAGACCACGCTACCAACCGAGCGCGACGTCTCGGTCGCGCCGTGCAGGACGTGCAGGTCGATGACCGTGGTGACCGCGAAGGCGATCCAGCCAACATATCCGATCGTGATGAGCGCGCGCAGGAACAGCCAGTCGTAGGTCTGGAGGTAGCGTAGACCCTGCAGACCGAGCTGGACGAGCTCAGTGGTGGCGCGGATGGCGTCTTCGGGACGGTTAGCATCGATGAGGGCGCGGATGTCGGCGATGCGACCTGCGACGGCATTGTCGCTTCCGAGGGCTGGGAAGGGGCGGAAGCGCAGCTGGTTGGCTTGCTTCTGCTCCTCTTTGACGCGGTACATTTCTAGGATGGCCTGAGCGTTGACGAGGGCCGCTTCGGCCTTCTCGGTGGTGGAGCCGGCGAGGAAGGAGAGGGGGAGCTCGCCGACGGAGTTTACGGGGAAGGCGAGGCCGGCGAGGTAGGACATGAGCGCGGCGACGTCGGCTTGGGCGACGTCGTGGCGCTGGATGTGGTCGAGGTTCCAGTCTGAGGAGAACTCGTTGTGGCCGGGCGCGATGCCTTTCTCGACCGTCACGGGTTTCGCCACGCCGGAACCCCATGCAATGAGTGGCGTGCGGGTGTTGTCTGGGTGGCCGTCGCCGTGGCTGCCGAAATCACTCATTCCGTGATCGGCTGTGAAGACGAAGGCGGTCTTGTCGTCGGCGTAGAACTCCTCGATGAGTGTTGTTATCTCCTCCACGCCCTTGTCCACGACTTGGAGGTTATGGAGGTACTCCTTCGAGTGTGGCCTGTATGCGTGGCCAGACGTGTCGAGGCCGAGCAAGTGCAAGAAGAACACCAGCTTGTCCTGTCTCAACTGCGTATTGAGAGTAGCATTCGTCGCTGCCTCCGCAAACAGGGCCTTGACGCGGTCAAACACCCAGATATCCAATAGCGTAGCATCCATTGAGAAGTCCTCAAACTCATGCCCATACGTGTACCCATCAACGCGTCCTGGCTCTGCGCCCTCCTGGAACATAGGCAGGATATCAGGGCTACCCCAACTCCATGTGTGCCGACTGCGGTTGAACACGCTGTCGAAGTTGACAGGGTTGAGTTTCCAGCCCGTCGTAACGGCGGACACGTCCTCGTACAACCCTGCGATCAGGGCAACGTGGCCGGGGCGCGACTCGGTAGGGACGCGCGTGTGCGATACGCCAAAGGTTCCGTGTTCGAGGACACGCGAGCGCAGGAAGGGCGCAAGATGGCGTGGTTCCTCGTCGGCGGGGGAGGTGGGGTAGGGGTTGGGGAGGGACTGGAAGGCTTTGTCGGCGCGGAGGCCATCACCTAGGGTATTGTTAGCTTTGCGCAGTAACTGGAGGGTATAGAAAATCAAGCACATACCGACATAGAGGACCAGTCGCTGCGCGGGGGCTTCGACTTTTTTGGGGCGTTCCACCTCGAACTGGCGCATCCCAGACACGATGGGGCTGACGAAGTAGATGTCGAAGATTGAGAAGATGTACACAAAGTGGAAGACGACCGCCGTGAGCAGGAAGCCAAATCGTGTGACTCTCGCCATCTTAGCGGTAGTTCTAGACTTCCAACGTCGATAATTGAGTGTCCGCGGCGTCGTCGCCGTAGCTTCAAGAGCTGTTTGAGGCTGTCACGATATAGGCTCTGTATAGTAAATGAGTGGCGCGTCTAATGTACAGACAGGACATCAATCTCTTCGAAAAGAGGATATCCAGATAAAGAGAGTGGTCGCGGCGTGGCTGCGAGGGAAGCAGTCTACGTCCAATCCATCAAGGTTGTGAAGTTGTGTCCTGACCAAAACAGTAATTTCGTGGTCTGGCAGGGATTAATTAATTGCGGGTCCCTTGAACCAACACATGTAGATCGTCACAACTGAGCGTATTTATAGAATTATCATGCAACATCAAAACAATAATTACTGTGAATTCATGAGAATTGTAGCGTTTAAACACTGTACTTTGAATACTCCAACATATCACTGTTATCACTATCATAAACACATACTATACGGTATGATAAACAAAACAGCCCCAATGATCCCGTCCACCCCCCAAACTCCGACCCAACCCCTCACCCCACTACCCCTATCCCAAAACGCAAGGTATGCAAAATGCAATTACCCCCACAATTTTACATATGCTTCTCAGTCAACGCCTTGACAACACGTGCATAAAACTTGTCCACCTGTGGACGAGGGAACGTCAGCTCCTCGGACATATACTCTGGCAGCAACTCCTTCAGCTCCTCGTCCCTGCTTGGATCCATCTGGGGCACATAGTGGCACTGCGACTCGTCGTAGTCGGCGTTCTTGTCATTCGGAACCCCAAACTTGAAATGCAGCGCTAGATTGGTCAGTGACTGACAATAGAAAATGAACGGTGGAGGGTACTTACTGCCATTGCGCCCGGTCTGGATGCAGTCGAACACGTCCTCCTCCTCCTCGTGCCTGACGCTGCGCATTATAAGGCCGGTAAGGTCGCGGTACAGATCTTCCTTCAGCTGCGCTGCCTGTGCAGCTGCTGCGGCCTCTGCACCACCCATCATGCGGATCGCAGCCGTGCTTTTCTTTGCACTGCTCGGTGCACGAGCATTGCTCTCAGCTGACGCGGCAGCAGCCCTTGCTGCGGTGAGTTTCGCTGATAGCGACCTATTCTCGTTTTGTGCATCGGATAAAGACTCGGTGGCTACTGTGAGTTTCCTCTCTAGCCTTGATACCTCCTCGCCGTGCTCTTCGCTTCGGGATTTGTTCACACGGGCTAGCTTCCGTTGAAGATCAGATATCTCATCTTCCTGTTCTTCCACCTTCCTCTTCAGCTCGCGGGTTTCCTTGGCTTGTGCACTCTGTGTAGCCGCTTCTGCCTTGTGGTCCGTGTTTGCCTTAGACAGCTTCTCCTGTAAATCAGATATCTTGCCCTCCTGCGCGTTTGCCTTCTTCTTCAAAGATCTCAACTCTTTCATCTGTGTAGTTTGTGCGGCCAACTCGGCCTGCAGCGTTGCAATGAGCCCGTCCGCAACTATTATCGTTAGACATGTCCATCACGTAGCCTCGTAAACTTACTCTTCCTGCTCTCCTCAGTCTGCCGCCTGTGTTTCTCGAATGTGCGCTCGGCCTCTATAATCCCCACCTCGCGGAGATTGCGATACTTCATATCCAGGCTCTCAAGCTGTTTCCTCAGATCTGTCTCATTCTTGGGCTGATTCTTGGGCTGTACCAGTGTCGGTTCAGGCGCTTCAGCTTCCTCCACATTCTTAGCCTTGGCACGTCCCAGAGTCGGCTTTCGTGCGTTCGTAGCTGTGCGGGCCATCTTATTCTGGTACACAACAGGAATCGGCGTCGGCATATCCACATCCTCATCCTCCAGGTCTTCAGGTGAAACCTGCGTTTCTGGGATCTCCTCCTCCTCCTCCCACTGCCGTTTACTTGGGTTCGCCTTCTTCTTGGGTACAGGTTTCGGCGTGCCCTCTATCTCTTCGGCCTTAGCAGCTGCTGCCTTTGCTGCCTTGGTCGTTTTGGCGGGAGCCCTCTTTGCGGGAGCCTTCGCAGCGCGTACTGGCTTGACGGTCTTTTGTATAGTCATAGCTGATGCATCCAATTCACTCATTGAGGGCATTTCCTCGTCAATCGTGATCGTGTCCTCCTGCAACTGCCCCGCCACCTCGTCCTCCGAGTCGCTGCCTGCAGGCGGCGCATTCGTCCTATCCTTCAGCGCAGGCCTCTTCGCTTTCTTCGCTGGCGACTTTGGAGCTTTCACAACCTTCGAGACGGATCCCTTTGGGCGCCCCCGCGCTTTCTTCGCCGAGGTGGGGACGGCGTTCTCGTTGCCTTGGGCAGGAGACATGATCGTGCTCTGCTCTTCAAATTGTGCGTCGTCAGAATCGGAGTCGATGAGCCCGGTCAAGCCCAGCCGCGAGTATGATAGCCTTGGCATTAGTTATTCGTTTCCAGATTCTGCGGTTTGGTGTGTGTATTGTAGCAGCCAGTTGAGCTCAATTTTGCCGGTTGTTGCGAAAAGTGTCAATTTTCAAATACTCAAATTTAAAGCAGCTATCTAGGCAAATAGATGGTTATTAACGCGTCGATTTGTCGATTTTGGCGAAGTTATTGTGTCGTTGCTAAGTCTCAGGATGGTGGGATGGATAAGAACCGCAAATGTAAACAAAAAAACGCGCTAGTGGAATGTGTTAGGTCTTGCATTTCAGGCGCATAATTTAGCCACATGTCAACCCAACTGTGGCGTAACATACGTACTGTACCTTGACCCTCGGTGTCTGGATATTTTGCGAGCACACGACAACTTCCACTCTCTCTCTCACTTTTGAGAGATATTTCCCTCTAAAGCACTGTTAAACATGGGTGACGGACCGGGCAGAAAGTATGGCTTTCTGCAAGATATCATATTGATCGTTTTCGCGGTACGCAAATCCCCCACTGCCCCTCGGCCTGAGTTCCCCTTGCTGACGTTGCCCCCCCAGAATGTCTCCGTTTACTACCTTGCGCGCCATGTCTTGTCGAGTCTCCCAGCCCAGACAGATCCAGAGAAGGAACAGCATGAGCAGGCACGGTTAAGAGCCGCTGCTAACCTACGGCGCCTCGATCGAGATGATTCGGCCGAAACGAGCGATGGGGAGGCGGATGGCCCGCCGCCGCCGAGGAAGGAAGACTTGGTTCTGAACCAGTACGAAAGTCAAATAGCGATGGAGGTTGTTGCGCCGGAAGATATTCCTGTGGGCTTTGACGGTGAGTCTTATGCACTGCCGAGGTTGAACACGGCTGACAGGATACAGATATTGGAGGACTTGACGATATCATCGAGGAGCTTAAAGAATCTGTTATTTATCCGCTAACGATGCCGCACCTGTATTCACGAACATCTTCACTACTCTCGGCTCCCTCGGGAGTACTACTATACGGCCCTCCGGGTTGCGGCAAGACCATGCTCGCAAAGGCATTAGCACATGAGAGCGGCGCTTGCTTCATCAACCTGCACATCTCTACTTTAACCGAAAAATGGTACGGCGACTCAAACAAGCTCGTCAGCGCAGTCTTCTCCCTGGCACGTAAATTACAACCAAGTATCGTCTTCATTGACGAGATCGATGCTGTCCTTGGACAACGACGAAGTGGTGAGCACGAGGCAAGTGGAATGGTCAAGGCCGAGTAAGTCACCACGTACCCTGCGCTCCCCTCACAAAACTAACACCCCCAGATTTATGACCCTCTGGGACGGCCTCACCTCCTCCAACACCGAAGGTATCCCCGCACGCATCATGGTCCTTGGCGCCACCAACCGCATGCAAGACATCGACGAGGCGATCCTACGTCGCATGCCCAAGAAATTCGCTGTCTCGCTGCCCAACAGCAGCCAGCGCCGCCGCATCCTTAACCTGATCCTCAAGGACACCAAGGTCGATACCGCAAACTTCAACGTTGACTACCTAGCGCGCGTCATGGCGGGGCTATCCGGAAGCGACATCAAGGAGGCATGTCGTGACGCAGCTATGGCGCCAGTGCGTGAGTACATCCGCGAGCAGCGCGCGAAGGGCGTAGCAATGGAGGGAGTGACACATGAGGGTGTGCGTGGGGTGCGGACGGAGGATTTCTTCGGGAGAAAGGGGGGTGGACAGATCTTGACGGATAACCATGAGAGACAGCAGCGGCAGGCGGGAAAGCAGACTTCGAAGGTCAAGGAGCTGGAGTCGAGCGATGAGTATGAGGATATGGAGGATAGTCCGATCGCTGAGTCTATGGATTAAAGGGGTACATGGGGATTTGGCGCAGGCGTTTGGTAGAGGGTGGCTGGTCGGTAGGTAGTCAGTGACTGGCAGTGGTCCTAGTTGCGAGTAGGATAGAGTGTAGGAATGTGTATAGTAAATCAGGTTTGCTGTGTCTCTAGGCGAGGGACAGCACATAGCATACGTTAATTTGGGAGTTTGAAGACCAATATTGCTCGGGTTTATTGTGAATAACGAAGCATATAATGATATAAAATGGAATAGTTATAAAATAAGATAATGAGACGTAAATATTTTTACGAGGGCCTTAATATTCAAACCCATAATTAAGTTAATCCCCTCCTTCTCATAAATAGTGAAATATATATAATGCTCGTACTCGTATCCCCTTGACCGTTCTTTGTCTGTATAAATTCATAATTAATTACCACCCGTCTCACAAATTATGCCCATCACCTGACCCTATCACGCCATCGCAGCTACTTACTAAAGTACCCAAGTACCTCATTAGGTCTGATTGGCATTTTGTACCACTCCCCGCATTTTCATAGGTGAACGTATGCCGAGTTCGATGAACCATCCGAACCCTTCCAAACGACCGCCCATAACGAACTTCTCCGGCATGGACTCATACCTCGGACAACACCACATATAGCTGCATAAAAGCCCTCATATCTTACCAATCTCACCAGCCTCAACAGCGCCGTGTCGTCGTCGCTGATCAGCTCTGCCATTAGAGCTCATAGCGACGAGACCAATTGGCTCTCTCTTATCCCATATCTTGAGTCTTTACCCCACTGACTCAGCACACTACAACATGTCTTCACCGCCAGGTCCTCCAGGCAAGACAAGCTCCCTCAGCAAGATAGCTCCTCACATCGACCTTGACGGGCACGATCTCCCTCCCTCCCCAGCGCCCTCCAGCCCGCGCAATGGCCGCAAATACGCCCTCTCCACCGAGCTCGTCTACACCGACAGCAAGGACCAGTATGGCGCCTCCAGCATGCCCATCTACCAGTCCGCGACCTTCAAGCAGACCTCGGCCAGCGGCGGCAACGAATACGACTACACACGCTCAGGAAACCCCACACGCACGCACCTCGAGCGCCATCTGGCTAAGGTCATGAACGCCTCGCGCGCGCTGGTTGTTGGCTCGGGCATGGGCGCCCTGGATGTCATCACGCGGGTGCTGAAGCCCGGAGACGAAGTCGTCAGCGGGGATGATATCTACGGTGGCACGAACCGCCTGCTGAAGTACCTGTCGACGTACAGCGGCATTATTGTGCACCACGTCGACACGACTGAGCCAGAGTGCGTGCGCAAGGTGCTGTCGCCCAAGACGGCTATGGTGCTGCTTGAGTCGCCGACCAACCCGCTCATTAAGATTGTGGACATTCCTACCATCGCCAAACTGGCGCATGAGGCCGCGCCCACCGCCCTGGTCGTGGTAGATAACACCATGATGTCGCCTATGCTGTGCAACCCTCTCGACCTGGGCGCGGATCTCGTCTACGAATCCGGCACAAAATACCTCTCTGGCCACCACGACATCATGGCCGGAGTCCTCGCCTTCAACGACGCCGCCCTCGGCGACAAAATGTTCTTCACCATCAACGCGACGGGCTGCGGTCTCTCGCCCAACGATGCCTTCCTCCTGATGCGTGGCCTCAAGACCCTCGCCATCCGCATGGACAGACAACAGGCGAACGCACAGCGCATCGCCGAGTTCCTCGAGTCGCACGGCTTCCGCGTGCGCTTCCCGGGTCTGAAGTCACACCCACAGTACGATCTGCACTGGAGCATGGCGCGCGGCGCTGGTGCGGTGCTGAGTTTCGAGACGGGTGATGTAGGAGTGTCGGAGCGGATTGTGGAGGCGGCGAGGTTGTGGGGCATTAGTGTCAGCTTTGGGTGCGTGAACAGTCTGATTAGCATGCCATGCCGCATGAGCCATGCGAGTATCGATGCGAAGACGAGGGAGGAGAGGAAGATGCCAGAGGACGTTATTAGGTTGTGTGTTGGCATCGAGGATGCGGATGATTTGGTTGATGATCTTACGCGAGCAGTACGTTTTTCCCCTTCCCATACCTCCAAATACCAAATACTAACGCACCACAGCTCGTCCAAGCTGGCGCAGTGACAGTGACCCTCGACGGCTTCCACGCCAAGGGCTCCGCATCAGATAGCGGATCCGTCAATGGGACCACCGCGTGATAAACATTAATGAGCATGAATGATTTCAGGGGACCTATACCTAAATATATATCTTCCACGGCGGCGGCGTTGTGGCAATTCGCGGTAGGGGCTATCATATTCATGGGTTGATGATCGTTGTATTTTATTTAAACTACTGCTCTGAAGCCTGGCCATAATAAAGCTATTTCGGTTATTCCTTCCTGATTACTAATCCATTCTGCACACTCACCCCCTGATCGTTTTCTTCGACACATGGTGTTGAAGAAAGCGTCCCTATGAGCGCTCCTAAGCGACCGATACCCCAGCCTCAGTTCCCAAAGCTATCCCATTTCTAGCTATTCATGTCCTGCAATCCACTCCATTTCCACCATTCCATTAGCAAATCCATGTCTCAAAAGCATTCGCCATCAGTGTGGTCGATAGTGCAGCTTAGCAAGATCTTGCCTCCAAATTAAAGTATTGTACGGCGCTAAGATTCATGATCTTCATATTGTACGGCGCTAAGATTTATGATCCTGATATTGTACGGCACTAATAATCTTGTGAGATCTCATGATATTACACGCGACTTATATACCCTTGCCATGCTGTTGGGAATTTGAGGGAGGACCTGGCAAGAATCCCCGACCAGCTGAGCTGATACCTGACTGTAACACAGTCGAGGCACTGAGTGTTTCGGCGGTGCCCCCAGAATTCCCATATATAGCTACGTAGGCCCATTAGGTAGTGTAGGAATTCAATTGATCTATTCATTCTATATACTGTACTCGGTGTTCCACCCACTCGCTTCGCTCGTAGGTGGCGACAGCAAGTTGTGCGTGCGACAGCAAGATGTGCGTACACCGCTATTTTGATATATAGAAAAAATAATAGTATTCTTCATAACGTAGTATCTACAATGCCTCAAAATAACGATCCTACTATGATTGCTCGCCTTAATGAGGCCCAACAGTTCTTCTTAAAACAACCAAGTACATATACAATTGCTTGGGTTGCAAATAAATTCAATGTCAACCGTGAGACACTCCGACGTCGTATTACGAGTACTACGTCTCCTCAATTACCCCACGGAGGTAGCAATCGAGTCTTATCTCAATCGCAAGAGACCGCGGTCTGTCAATTCATATACGACCAACTTGAGCGCGGGGTCCCTGCCAACCGATCTATGATACTACGGGCAGTTGCAGACTTACGACCTAATCGTACGATACCATCACAACGGTGGCTACAACGCTTTCTAAAAGCACACCCCGAATTTCATACAATTCACACGAAGACGTTAAATACACATCGGAAGCAAGCACAAAAGAAAGAGGTGTTTGAGGAATTCTTTCTCACATATAACGCCCTTATTACAAAACATAACATTAAGCCATATAATTTATGGAATGTTGATGAGACAGGCTATATGATTGGGTGTTATAAGTCTACGGCTGTTATTGTACCAATCGGTGTAAAGCAGTGGACTGTTGATAATCCTGAGAATCGGCTCTCTGTTACTGTAATTGAGGCAGTAAATGCAAGTGGTGCTGCACTTGCAGAAGCTATCATTATCCCTGGCAAACTTCATATGGATTCATGGTACAATGATGACCTTGAGCCAAATGCTCTCATTATTGTAAATGAGAGCGGGTATTCAAACGACGACATTGCAATCCAATACCTTATGCATTTTATCCAACTATCTGCAGAGCATATGGCACCAGATGATACTCGCCTCTTATTACTTGACGGCCATGACTCTCATAAAACAGAGCGCTTTCTTACATTAGCAGAAGAGCATAACATTGTTATTTGCTGCCTTCCTGGTCATACAACACATCTATTACAACCTCTTGATGTAGCGGTTTTTAAGCAAACACTTTCATCAAAAGGCACTTGATCAAGCAGTACGTAGCTACGACTATGAGTATAAGCTACGTACGTTCCTTTCAGACCTCCCGCAAATCCGACGGCAATCTCTAACTGTCCGTACAATTCAATCTGGTTGGAGAAATACAGGACTATATCCATATAATCCTCCACTTGTAATTGACAAGATACAAGAGACTCGGAATCAAACACCTGATTATGAGCCATTTGCTTCATATAATATTATCTCAACACCGAAAACAACTATGCAAAGTGTGCAAGCGGTTGAACATTGGCAGAAGAGAGCAGAGGAAGCTTTCTCATCGCCTTCAAGAGAAGGGTTTCAATCATTTGCACGTGGAACTACAGTTGTTCTACACCGGGCAGAGCTCTATAAGACCGAGCTAGATATTATGACTCTACGTGCAGTAGAGCAGAAGGCAGCAAAGGCAAGGGCACGGAAATCACTACAGAAAGGAGGGCAGTTATATGCATCAGATGCACGGAAAATGCGGGAAGAGAAGAAAGCAAAGTTGCAAGCAAAAGCAGACGCAAGAGCAGCAAGGGAATCGGACCAAGTAGTAAAGCAGCTACAAGCGCAAGCACGTAAAATCGAAATTGAAGAGCGTAAGGTTGAGAGGAAGCGGGTAGCAGAGCGGAAGAAGGAAGGGTTGAAATCAAAAGTGATCATTTTACGGTATAGTAAGGATCAAAGTGATAGTAGCAATAGTGGCAGTAGCGATAGTGATAGTAGTTCTATTGATTTTATGTTTTAATTATATAGTTATATAGTTGATATATAAGGCGTCTTTTTCTTCGTTTTATGTGTCGCACATCTTGCTGTCGCACGCACAACTTGCTGTCGCCACCTACGAGCGAAGCGAGTGGGTGGAACACCGAGTAATCTACTGTCAAGTTTTCCTGCCCGTTGCGCAAAAGCAAGATCCGGTCACCAAAATACACCGCACGATTTGCGCGCGGTCGCAATATTTCGGTCCTTCCACCAACACATGCCTATCCTCACCATGCGTTCTAATCTACTATTCTATACCATGATTTGAGGCACTCTAAAGCCTCAATTGACTTGGTACCTAATCTGTTTCTTCTCTCAGTAATTATCAATCCAGCGCTAGAAAACAATCTCACTGGTAATGCTGACATCGCTGGTATTGACAGCAAATCTAAAGCCATCCTTCCTAGATTTGGGAAGGCTCCATCCACCAAGCTCTTGCATTAACATCGGAGGTAATTGGGCTTCCACAGTACTTCATATACTCGTCTAAAACAAGGGGTCGTCGTCGCTTTTGCTCAAGCCAAATCTGATGCTCTGTTTTCTCTTCAATCGAGATCTCAACTCTTGGTGGCGGCGGCAATTGAACAGGCTTATACTCAGTATCCCAAAGCTCTTGTACCTGCTTCTTTGCAATCTTGATCCAATAATTCTCCCAATTATCAATCCACGTCCATTTCTCGCTAGGAACCATGACCATTGCAGTAGTATAGGCTGATGATCTCTCTGTTAAGCCATAGTACTTATCCAACTTCTTCCACGCAGAATTAACACAAGGGCTTAGAAAAGCATCCTCTTTGAACTCTACTTTGCTGCCTCTAGCTTCTCAAGCAGAAACTCCATAGTAGATAATACTCGGTCAATAGTAGCTTCATATCCTTCTGTTGCAAGTGTTGCTTGATAAAAGAACTTAAGATACTTATGAAAGTGTCCTAAAGTTGTCCAATCTGACAGAGTCAAAGCATCAGCTTCAAGTCCTTCTTGCGCACAAAAGACATCAATTGCTGGTTTCATTCGTATGCTAATTGCGCAATCAATCATTGCGTACCAGGAATTCCAACGTGTCTTATTATCTCTTGGGATTCTCTTGCCAGAAGTGAGTGCTTCAAAGCTTGCAATTCGCAGTGGTGAGCGTTGGATGTAAACCACAATGTTATGAAGCTTTCCAAGTGGCCCCTTGTTTCGCCAATCCTGCATCTCCTGCTCAGACGGAATTAATGAGACTGTTGCATTATTTTCATATGAAAGAGCCTCATTGTCTTCAGCTGAAAAGAGAAAGGCTTGTGCTGTCAGGTTGATTATATGACCATTACAACGAAGTCGGTGCTGAATTGAATTATACTCAATCTGATATTCGTCAAGAAGAGCTGTAAAACTCCATTAGTAAATAATAAACAGTATTAAGTTAAAATAGTGATAACTTACAGGAAGAAAGTGCCCGTATCATTGTCTCATTGTTTTCTGCATTATCCATCATGAAATATCCAACTTTCGAGGCAATTCCGTACTCCTTGATAACTTCCATAATTGTAAGGACACAGGGCACCCAGCTCACAGTAATAGCATATGAGAGTGCGAGTCGGAGGCTAAACGGATGCTATCCTATAGGTCTACTACGAAGGATACAAAAAAGATGATGAGGAACCCCGTTGGGTCAATCCCCTCAAGTACCCGAAACGGGTCCGACTCGGCTAACCTGCCCTAACTCTCCCCACGTGACCGTAACCTGCCCGACTCTGATGCTTTCCATCACTGAGGGCTTTGGCATCCTTACAATAATGACTTGTGATTGATTCTCTCCTGTATGTTGACCATGAAGTGGACGAAAGGCAAGTACTGATTCTCGTAAATCTCCATTATCTGCAATGTAATGACCAATAATACCCATTAATGCCTTACTATTAACTGAGGTCCAAAGGTCTACTGTAAAATGAACCTTAGATTGGGCACATTGCAAGGCTTGTTGTACTCGAGTCTTTTCAGCAGTGTACGCTTCAACTGTCCAGATTTGAATTGTAGAATGGCTCATGGGAAGGGCTTTGTTGATATTTGGATTCAGAAAGTAGAGAAGGTTTCGAAATTGAGAGGATTCAATCATACGAAAGGAGACAGAACTGCCTACAATCCAACGAATGAGAAGCTGCTTTAGCTCTTCCTGGTTGATATCCACATCGATTCGACGGCGCTTTGACTGAGACTCTTGTGCATGCTGAATTGCAGTCTGGATACTCAACTGTCGAGCAATAATTGTAGGCCTTTCACTTTCAAATACTGAGTGCTCCTTATTAAGATGTCGCCCAATATGAGCAGTTCCCCCACGAATTGGATATTCGCTTGTGCAATACTTGCATCGCCAGAGTACAACGTTAGAGCCTACTTTGCAATATACCGTGTCTATAGAGCCAGGCATATGACTCCATACCCAGCTTGTACGAGTAACATTCTTTGACGACGATGAGCTTTGAATTGATGGTAGATTGAGAGTGTAAGGGGTTAATTGGACAGCGTGCTAGGACCGGTAGGTAGCAATCAATATGGTATTCCACAGACTAAACTCTGAGCCCCCTTAAAATGGGGGCTCAGCTATTGTTATGTACGAGGCTTATGGGCGGTCCGCAACTGACCCGCCTCCGACTCGGAGGTGACTACGTGTCTCAGCCTAATTGGTGTGGCCTGACTGATTTAGGCTGCTGCGGGTGGACGTAGCGTGGCTCGGTGCCATAACGGAGCCGAGCCGCTCTATACCCATAGCCTGACTCATCAGGCCTTAACCGTGCCCTCGACCGCGTCCCTTCGACACAGGCTCGACCCGACCCCGAGTCGCCCTGTACCCGTGACAGAGTTAAAGATGTCAGAATTAAGATCGGAAATTTCACTAGATTCTGGCAGCGCTGATGACATTTTGACAGGTGGTCTGGCTAATCGGGGGAAAGTTGGGAATAACTGTAAGGATGCCTTCTCGTCTCTCATTCTATGGAGTAGACTCCGGGTAGCCGCGGGGTCACGTGTGATCATTTGGGTGGCCTAACCGAGTCAGAACTGAGTCGGATGGGTTTCGGATACTTGAGAAAATCGACTGACGGGGTTCCCCATCATCTTTTTTGTATCCTTCATAGTAGACCTATAGGATAGCATCCGTTTAGCCTCCGACTCGCACTCTCATATGCTATTACTGTGAGCTGGGTGCCCTGTGTCCTTACATTATACAAAAAAGATCACGCCTGCCGGGGACGGCCGTACTTAAATAATATCCCACACCGGAACGACTCAGGAGAACTACCGTTACACCATAGACTGCGACTCGGTGATGTTTCGGAGGAGAGACCTGACGACTTCAAATAGCCGTGATTCCAGAATCTCCCGGACAGCCAGTGGATCAGGGTTTGATTCTTCAGAACAAGCTGGTAAAGTCGCTGACGCGTTGGCGCCAAATAGGATACGAGATCCTTAAGAACCCCCTCATAGCACAGAGGAAATTGTGGACAAGAGCGTTGATAGCTAACAGCTACCGGAAGTCAAGCTCTTTCGTATCGGTACCGATACACACCCGAGGCAATATGTCGAAAAAGCCGACATCAAACATACCCCAAGACAACGACGGTCAACTGCCCAGAATGACTACCAGACAAACCACCGCTGCAGCTATGACTGCTGGGCCATCCGAAGACATCCCGAGTCGAATGGACCACATCGAAGCACAGATACAGGAGGTCAAGGATCTACTAGTTATCCTGTCGGCATCCCAGACCAGAATCCCGTCCACACTGCTGGTGGACGCTCCCATACCCACAGTCGAAGTTACGGAGCAACGAACGCCTCGTACACGAAACACCCCCGAGACAGTTCAATTGCTGCCTCTTCGGAACATTCGTTCTCCCTCGATTCCAGGGTCATCACGAATGCACACCGAGGACCCTCCGAATCGCTATAAGAAATCAACCATCTCTGAGAAAATCCTTCCTCTCAGCGATGGGGTAGAACATACCTTCTTACAATGGAGCGCTTCGATTCAGGACCGACTCATAGTCAATGAGGACCACTATCTTACCGACGTCTCGAGAAGAGCGTTGATATGGGGAACTACGACCGGCCTGGCGAAGACCTACCTAGAGCCCCAATACCTGTCCGCTACGCATGGGTTCCCCAGTGCTGAGGAGATGATGGATCTACTAGGTTCATACTACCTCACAGGCAACGAGACGGAGCAGGCCAGGAACCTCTTCAATGACCTGCAAATGGGAGAGAAAGGGCATGCTAGCAAAACCTTCCCAGAGTTCAAGGCTCGTTTCCAAAGTGCAGCTATCACAGGACAAGTCTCCGAGTCGGAATGGTTTCGGTACATGTGGAACAAGTTGACTCCCCAATTCTGCAGCCGCGTCGCGATCATCAAAAACCAAATTGGAATGGAGACTACCAGACCATGGTAGGAGAACTTACCACCTTCAATCAGGAACAGCGCCGGAACAATGAATTGAATCCGCTACCTGCTCTCGCAAGGACGTCCACACGTACCACGGATACGGCAAAGGCGTCGGCATCGAAGCCGACTCGAACCACACCCGCTCTGTTCACCCAAACCGCGTTCCTCCCCAAGCTAGCCATACCGGAACGTGTGAGAACCGCAGTCCCTGCACCCTCAGGGAACTGTTTCAAGTGTGGCAAGCCCGCCCATTTCCAGGACAAATGCCCGCTCAATGCTACTGTCAAGGAAATCGACCGTAACGACCCCGAGGCAGAAGAACAATGGGAAGAAGCCGTGGAACTTCAATCGGATGCGTCCCTCGAGGAAAACAACGAGGCCTAGGAGAAGGCTCCTTCCTAGGTCAGCGTCCGTTCGAACAGCGATGATTGACTTGCGCTCCGTATTGAAGGGAATAAAGACTATAGAGGACTTTCCGTAGTAGAAGACTTGCGCGAGAAGCTCAAGGGATAACTAGCGGGTGTGAGAAAGGAAATTATTTGATTCATAGTCTATGTCCGTAGCCATAAATATAAATAACGGCTTCTTCCCATTGTTCTTCTGCCTCGGGGTCGTTACGGTCGATTTCCTTGACAGTAGCATTGAGCGGGCATTTGTCCTGGAAATGGGCGGGCTTGCCACACTTGAAACAGTTCCCTGAGGGCGCAGGGACTGCGGTTCTCACACGTTCCGGTATGGCTAGCTTGGGGAGGAACGCAGTTTGGGTGAACAGAGCGGGTGTGGTTCGAGTCGGCTTCGACGCTGATCGTTTAACAGTTCCCTGAGGGCGCAGGGACTGCGGTTCTCACACGTTCCGGTATGGCTAGCTTGGGGAGGAACGCGGTTTGGGTGAACAGAGCGGGTGTGGTTCGAGTCGGCTTCGACGCCGACGCCTCTAAATTATTGTTCATCGCTCGTTTCTGCCATTACTCGTTTCCCGCCCGCCATTAATCGTTTTCCCGGCTGCTATTAATCGTCACAGTCGTCCAACCACCCATGCATACATCATTAATTTTGGGATAGCCTCTCTCGAATATGCTGCGTAGATGGCGTCTGCGTCTTGAGTTGCGTCCCTCTGTGGGTATCGGTGGTCGAGCACAATGACTTCTGCTGTCGGGGCTTGTGTTTGTTCTTGTGGTTCTTCCTAGCTTGGAGTCTCTGGGGACGGACAGTCCGAATGGCCTCGGAGAGGCCTGCGAAGGACATACTATCGAACGTGTTAGCGAAAGCGAGCTATGAGATTACAGAAGGGCTTACCCATTCCGGGGACCTCCTTCGTGTACTCCAGACCCTTCCCCGTTCTGGCGCTGTTGCATAGGGAGGAGGTCCGTCATGGTGGGGGCTTCGAGAACTATACTAAGAGTACGTCAGCGGTATAGATGGGGGCCGAGCGGTGGGATGCGTACTCGTCGTCAATGCTGTCCTCGGCCACATTATTGTTTCCATCTGCCTGGCCGCCGTCTTTAGTAGCGTCGTTGCGCCCAGTATTGCCGCCGCGCGGAGTGGACAACCGGCAAGGAGATAGCGTGGGCCAGGGTAGTGACTTGAGCTGAGGAGATCGGATGGAGCACCACGAAGGCACAGTTATGCCGACGAGGTTCGAGTTGTAACAAGAGTTGGTCTGAGCAAGAAACACGGTAGTGTAGCGTGGTATGTGACGTGTGACTCGAGTGGCAGCAAGAAGATGGAGATATGCCGCCTGGGCTGGCGGGATGCTCGAACGACAGGAAGATCCGGTCAAATTGGCGGTCGAGTGGGTGCGAGGAAGAAGTTATGTCTTATGGCGTGAGAGGCACGAGTGGCAGTAAGAGCTGGTTAGGTTTATAGGGCGGCGGAGAAGAAGGCACGGCGGTGGCCTTTTAGGTAAGGGATATAGCGATGATAGGGAGCGTCGTCGAGTGCGAATTCGAATAGCGTAGTGAAGGAGTGGATTCGAATAGAACTAAGCTGCACGGCTGGCGAGTACTCAGTGTAATAACTGGGAATAGACGGAAAAGTATGGATAAGGAATGAGGCGAAGGGGTATAATGAATGTGTGAGCGACGGGTGCACAGCGTGTGGGTAGGAAAGATCAAAATATGGGAGAGAAGCGGATATAATATAAAGACGACGAAGATGGGAGTCATTACGACCGCCGCCCTGTGAGTGAGAAAGATTGGGGGATTGATCGACATGAAGGGGATGAGGGACCACACTCCACACAACCGGCTCACCCACTACAGCTAACTGGCTTCCCCAACCTCACATCCTAACATGGCTCATACGGGTAAGAAATGATGATTAGGAACGTAGGAACACGCAACAATGGGCATTGTGTGTTCCGGCCTCCGCGGACGACGGATCTCTGTGCTGCGCCTCCATGGGTTGGTATGTCGGCGAGGCAGCTGTGTGCCCTCGAGTGCGGCATCTCATCAAACAAAGTGTACCTTTGTCGAAATAAAGGCAATTAAACAAACCCACGGACTTGCATGGGATTTTTTGCCTGCATTCCGCCGCCGCCAATCGTAGATAGTGACCGTAGCTAGCGAACACCGCTGGTCTGGCAGGGATGACTTCCCCACTCACCGCCATTCCTCCATTCCTAATGAGTGGTAGACTCAGCGGATTAGTGGCCCTTGGGACCTGTAGATGTCTTGCAGCACTGTAGTACATGTCGACAGGCACTCAGTCAAGTACTGAGAATGTACAAAAAAACCACCTTTGTCTTGTCTGTACATGCTCAACTTATGGCATAACATCTCCGACAGGGAGGCCAAATTGTTGACAGCCCTGACATCCACTGGACGACGCCCTTCTGTATGGTTCATGCGCACAACCGCTGCGTAAATTAATTGTATTGCAACATTCCGCGCATAAACCACATCGCACACCCAACAGTATTCAGTGGCTGCAAACTCTGACCCAGCCAACTGGTCAAGTTGTCATCAGAGGGGCCTGGACTGATCAATGTGACGATCAACCACGCATAAACTACGCTGGGGGGAGCCAGTGCCCATATGTATGGACACAATGCCTTCGGCGTCGTTGGGCGTAGCCGGCCGAACAGCGGATCTATTAGGTTTGTGCAATAGATATCCCCAGGACTAGGGCTGATATCAGGTGGCCAAATTCTAGTTGCGCTTCAACTTTAATTCGTTTGGTTGAGCAGAAGGGAAATGAGACTGGAGAGCTCAGCGGAGTGCTGAGCTAAGAGCATGCACCCTGCCTAGATGTGCGGTGCATACATACCGATGCCATAAGTACAGCCGAGCCGTTGATGTATGTATTGTTTGAGATCATATCCACTTTCCACTGGAGTACTCCATCGCGCGGCCTGTCAGATGTTTTGTTTCGCGCCTCGTCTGATAATCGTCCGATAACGCGAAAGAGCTAAAACATCTCGTAGAAGCCTAGCTTGAGACGCGGCCAGTCTTCTGGCAGGGGCGCTGGGGACAAAACCCTTCCTCAAAACCGCCGATTTCTAGCGCAGCTGAATATGTCGACAAACCCTCATCCATCTGGTCTATTCTCCTAATCTCCCTAAATGTCTCACCACCTGCTCCTGCACCGAGACGGAAGGAATGGGCCAGATCCACAACCTCCAGACTAGCTCTTCGCTGTCACACCGCATAAAAATGTTGCTGCACCACACACAGCCACGACCGCAGCCTCATCCACACCATATAACATGTTACGTGCATTGGTCGCCAGCGAACCACACGCTGTAGCACAGCATGGATGTTCAACAGGCATCGCAGCGTTAGAACAAAGCCATGGAACAACCTGCCAATACTCCCGAATCCCCAACCAAGGTATGGAGTAGATAGGCCTGGCAGCTTGGACGGGCTATCGGATTATTCATGTGGTGTGAGGTTGCACGTACTTTTGTGGCTGCGCACGGCCTCGTAACTGAACCCATCTTGTCGGCCGTGTGGGACGCAAGCGAGGCGCGGTGGTTGAAGATATTGTTGACAGCAGGCAGACTTTAAACCAGTTTCGTTCATAACTGCAAGTATTGTTGCGGGTTTCTGGGGTATCTACCAGTGCCAACAATATATACCCAGCAATAGGAACATCATCGTAAATAAGATACGAATACCTGCCAAGGCCGAGTCCAGGAAGGAAGCAAGTCAGGTCTTGAGAGAGACAAAGGCACGTGATTGAGATTGTTGTGTGGCTTGCTTCCATGACTATGGAGAGGCTGAAACAGGGCCTCATGCAGAGGCCCTGTGAGCAAATAGCATCGCGTGCATTGTCAGAGTTTTCACGGGTTAAAAGGAGGCAGAGATGAGTCGGTGAAGGAATATAAAAAAAATACGAAGAAAGGCAAAGGAATATTGGGGCTTATTCTGGATGTATTGAGAGTGAAATTCGCGATTTTGATAAACTCTTTGATATCCAAACTTTTATAGAGTCGCGCTATCCTATTTGGGACTAACGTAGCCCTAAAATGGTGGGACCTTCCATTGGTGACCGCGCACGATCGGCACGGTCCGTGCCGCTAGGCTTATTGAGGGCTAATATTCTACAATTTATCACCACCCTGTCACGTGCACCAAATCAACCATTTCTCATCTCGCTCATCTCATCCCACCCAAAGATGGCTTCTCTCAGCCAGGACCATCGTCCCGACGACGACGATGTCGACGACAATGTCATCGCCAAGCTCCAGCTTCAAGATCCAGAGTTGAGCGGGTCCTTGGCGGCGGGGAAGGGTCGCAGTGGAGAATTCACCGACGAATCACACGCCTTGCAGCTGCAACAGCAAGAGCTGGAAGAGCTGGAAAATGACGATCTATCTTCCTCAAACAGGAGTGTGGCTCAAAGTTCGGATTCCGTCCAAAGTCACGTGCCGACTGCTATGAACACAACTTCACAAGAGGCAAACATTGCTGGTGGTGATCACGATCTCGCCCAAACTCTCAAAGGAAATGCAGGACGACCAGATGTCAAACATCCCAAGACAAGCCTGGGGCATCGGATGCTGTCAAAACTTAAAAACCTCTTCAAATCCAAGAAGCACGACCAATACTATTACGCTTATGACAGTGAACGGCGACTGTCATTCACATTGGTAGAAGGTAGGCCCGTAACGCTCACTTCAAACACAGATCTTTGTGAAGCATGCGGTGGTGAAAAAAACATTGAGGACCTTGGATGTGGCCCATGCGGCCATGAGTACTGTCGCGATTGTCTCCAGGACCTTGTCAAGGCGGCGATTACAGACCAGTCCCTCTTTCCGCCACGTTGCTGTCGCCAACCAATTCCTTTGGAGACAATCCGCTCACTCCTGACTTCCGAGCTGGTCCATGCTTTCATCGACAAAAAGATCGAGTCCGACACTCCGAACAAAACGTATTGCTCTGTACAGACCTGCTCTGCCTTTATCAGAAGCGCCAATATTGCCAACAACGTGGGTACATGTCTCAAATGCGACTCAAAGACATGCACACTGTGCAAAGAAGCCGCTCATGGAAGAGGAGAATGCCCAAGTGATCCAGAGTTTCAGCAGATCTTGGAAATGGTGAGAGAGAATGGCTGGCAACGATGCTACATGTGTTCGAGCGTGGTGGAACTGAATTATGGCTGCAACCATATCACGTAAGTGCCCAGTCATATCCTACATGGATACCAAATGCTAACACTATAATAGCTGTCGTTGTGGTACTGAATTCTGCTACCTCTGCGGACTGAGATGGAAGAGCTGCACCTGCGCGCAATGGGATGAACATCGACTTATTGAGCATGCAAATGTGATTGTAGCTCGTCAACCGGAGACTCGTGGATTGCGACTGCGCGAGAGATTTGAGGCGTTTAAACGTACAATTCAGAATCTCCGAGAGAACCACGAATGCCAGCATCTTGACTGGCGGTATGTCAGGGGGCCCGGCTATTGCGAAATATGCGGCCAGTTAATGACTACCAGGTTCATTCAAGAATGCAAGGAGTGCTATATTTGGGCTTGCAAGCGATGCAGGAAGCATAGGCTGTAAGGATATATGTGTTTCAGGACGGATGGTCCAGGTGCAACAGAAGTAGATGGATACCAAAGTTGGAGTTGGAGACGGTCCGTCAACGCCTTATCATACGCATGGGTATATTTTCGTATTTTCGGAAAAGCTGCTTTGAGACGGAACGGTGAACTTGGATGGAAGGGTTACACTCAGTCAATGTAATAAAACCGACAGATGATGTTTCTAAATGAATAAAACTGTTATATAATGTATGTGCCTGCTACACGGTATGTCATCGAACCTGAGAAGCGCTTTGATGGTATGTGGTATGTTTGTGAAATCCGTACGCCCGTTGTAACTGCGACGCATACTTGAATATTTCACCCAATGCAATGAGTTCGATATAGTTAACTAAAAAATTAGCGACACCCAATTCGCCTTCCTACTGTACTGCTCTTTTGTCCACTGGAATACTGTAGCTCTGTCTGTGCCCAATTTGGGGTTGCTCTACAACATGGGAATGGCGAAGCTATCGTGGTGAATAAATGTATGCATCTGTGGGTGATTGGGGCTCCGTTAACACTCTCACTGCAAGGGATAGAGGGAGTGTACAATTTGTAGGTGTTGGTAGCGGTCCGTGATAATAGAATAATATGATAATTACGGGCGTGTCAACCAGGTTCAGAACAGTGATCTGTGAAAGCATGTTTTTATTCATCTAGCCACTGTGGTGCCCAGTTTTATCTTCTGAGTTGGGTGATACTGGGCTTGGCCCCGGGTTGGCGCTTGGCGGCCTGGGCGGCATCGCTGCCCCTTATCCCGGGCACGGAGTAAGAATTCCACAAGGAGTATTAGCAGATGCTCAAATACGAGAGTTTGATTATTCTATGCTACAAGAAGTTCAAGGATGTCAAAATCGCAAAAGCAGAAGCCATCGTACACTTCAATTTGGGGGTGCTTTAGTGTGCATCACGGGGGACCTACCCCATCAGTCCCCCGACCCCAGACCGGACCATGGTCCGGTCCGGTCTGAAGCTCATAACCCACGGTTCCTGTTGAGTAATATGCGTGTGTATTCCTGTCTATCTATTGCTGCCTGAAATTGCGGGGAAGTGGTGCTGAGATCATGTGACACCCCCCCATGTATCCCAGTACCGCATACTAAGTAGGAAGGCTCGCAGGCAAATCCGTATGGGTCTGAAATTGGAGTTCTGGGCCAACAACCTTTTTCTACCCCCACCCACGCCACTAACAAGCACCAACTTTCCACTCTCGCACAGCTCCGTACGTGACTCACAATGACTGTTATTGGTGAAATCAAGCCTCAAGACATGGCTCTGGTTGAGATCAGGGCTGACCTCCATGATGACTTGCCGGAGTATGAGAGGGTCAAAATACCATCCCTACCCCCAATTGTGGTTGGCGTGGAATTGGCCCGTCCGTACGGTGTTGCTGGTGTGGGAAAATGGGTGATTCTCCTGTTTTTGTATAGTAAAAGTCAGGGATTTCTCCTGCTCTTGTCTGCCTTCCCCCCTTTGTTGAAATGGGTTTGGAATTTCGAAAAATGAATGTGAAATCTCCATGCATATATTGCATCTATGTCATATGGAGTTGTGTAGTCTTCCAAATGAGTGTATGTTTATTATTTCCCAAGGTATTCCATTGGGAAAGTTGAAATAAGAACGCATAGTAAAACTAGGTGTAACTGTAGGCGGCTTTGGTGCTTTTGAGAGTTCTACCTCTGTACGGAACTCATCCATTAGCTATTCTTGTCTTGCCTCACTTTTCAGTTAGTGAAGTAGAAGACTAGACTCTTTGGTCTAGGGGGCTGCTTTCCATAGTACAAAGGTAGCCAGTGCTTCGTACGGGGTTGTGTTGTATGTATGCACTCCTATAGGAGATGCTTTATGTCTACAAGGTTCAAATGTTTAATGAACTCCTTGTGCTTCTGATGGGGTAGGGCCTTAGTAAAGCCATCTGCTGGCATCTCGTATGTAGCTATCCACTTAATATTGAGGTTCCGATGCTCAACCTCCTGTTGTAACGCTGACTTCTAAATGATAGAAGACACAGAGGTTCTCTTGCGTAAAGGTTTACTTATCAGAGGAGGCAGGGGATCAGACACAAAGGCTTCAAGTAACACGTTACTAGTATATAACAAATACTGTATTGAGTTGAGCACGAAGCTCCTATCTAAGAACTAACTATCTACTTATATAGTGGCATCGTGCCTAGTGGACTCCTGGGAACTCACTCGAGTCCTCGGAGTCCTGGACTCTTAGGATTCTTCTCATCATCCTGCGAGTCCGTCACGTGCCTAGTGGACTCCTGGGAACTCACTCGAGTCCTCGGAGTCCTGGACTCTTAGGACTCTTCTCATCATCCTGCGAGTCCGTCACGTGATACTTTCGGAACTACTATTCCCCGCTGCCCCTCCAGGTACCAGGGCCGGTCTCATGCGACCTCCCTCCTTCCTGTCCTGTAGTTGGCCAGCCTTCTTGTTCTGTCGTAACACCTGTCTTAACCAATGTGAGTGGACGTCAATATGCTTCAGCTTTGTAACTAGCTTTGGAGACTCCTTAAGTAAGATCCGTACGGTCTGCAAATTATCACAATTAAGTGAGTATTGCTCGTTTAGATCGAGTTTGATTGTGTTGAAGAAACGCTGCCACCAATAGAGCTGTTTCGCACTGTGGGACAAAGCTAGAAGCTCTGCCTCTGTTGTAGAGGTTGACACAGCCTTCTGCTTTGAGCAGCGCCAGTCTATTGCCCCTCCAAATAAGGTAAACAAATAACCCTCTGTGCTCTTTCTTATTGATTCGCAGTCTGCGTACGAAGCGTCACTAGAGCATTGAAAGCGAGCCTCTTGAATATTAGGTCCAAACTGAAGAGCTAGGGTCTTAGTATCCTTAAAGTAGAGTAGAAGTCTGTCGACTGCAGCCATGTGGTCGGCCTGGATTGATGAGAAATTCCGATAGTTTCATGTATCGTACGGGCTATATCAGGTCTCGTTACGACTGCTGCGTAGTTTGCTGATCCTACTTTCTGTTGGTAAAGATGGATTTGTTGCTTATCTGCCTGGCTGTCAAATTGGGTTAGGTTGTCTGTAACCATTGGCGTTTGGGTGGATCGAATAGAGGCTACTCCGTACGTAGTTGTGATCTTGTCGATATAGGAGTCCTGGCACAGCCATAGGGTTTTCTGGGTGCGGTCCCTCACAATTCTTATGCCTAAGAACCATTGAAGTTCTCCTATTTCTCGAAACTCATACGCTTCCATCAGTCTCGTACGGAACTGTGTTGCCTCCATTTTGTGGCTAGGATAGCTAAGGATGCAAATATCGTCAACATAGAAGAAGACAATAATCTTTGAAGATACAAAGAGGCACTGTGCTTCTGGGACCTGTACGAGGCCTAGAGCCTTGAGTGTCTCTGAGAAGTCTCGAAACCAGAGTAAGGGGGACCTTCGAAGTCCATAGAGTGCCCTGTTAAGTTTCCAGCATTTTCCTTGCTCCTGGTAGCCGTCTGCACACCGTACGTAGACCTCCTCGTCAATACGGCTGTTTGTGAATGCGTTTATAGCATCTAATTGTTGTGTATCCAAATCAAAGTAGGCTGTGATTGCCATTAAGGCTCGGACGGTTTTCGAAGCAAGCGTAGCTGTGTACGTCTCATCATGGATAGAATAGCGTTGTAGGTCACCTCTTACAACAAGTCTAGCCTTATATTTAAGAAGGTAGCCATTGTCATTGAATTTGTATGTGAAAACCCACATAAGGGGTATCACAAAGTTCCGTACGGAGCTGTCGTTGACAGATGTGAACGTTCCTTGCTTTCGAAGGTCTCCTATTTCCTTTGCAGCTGCAGCTTGGAATCCTATTCGATGTGGATGAGTTTGGAGTTGATTCCAGAACTTTGGAGCAGCTGGTAGGTCCGTACGGTGTATGCTCTGTCGATTGAACTCCGTTCCTACTAGGAAAGCTTGGTGTAAGCTTAGCTTTGCTTCTGGTATTGCTATTGTAGCTAGGTAGACGTCGTGTCTTCGTATGGTGTCCTCAGGGCGTTCCGGTGTCATTTCAGGCGTTTGAAGTTGTTCCTGTAGCTCTGTAGCTCCATGGTCCTTCTGAGTAGGCGGCTCTTCTTGAGGAGAGGAGGTGTTTGTTGCCTCTGATTTGTACGGAATTGTTGTCCCGTTCTGAGGCTGTTGTTCCCCCTCAAACTCCTCATCTTCTTGATCTTGAATATCTGGTATTTCAATGACCTGAACTGTCTTTTCGAGCTCTGTTTGGACAAGCTGAGCCTCGTACGAAGGGTCATAAGCCTTTGTCTCATCAAAGGTAACGTCTCTTGTAACTATAACCCTTTTAAGTTGCGGAACCCAAATGCGGAATATGTTTGTAGAGTTATAGCCAACTAGGTAGCCTATTTGGGCGTTCCTCTGTATCCTCTCAAGCTTTGGCTTGTTTAGAATAAGGGCATAGGCTCTACAGCCATAAGCGCGAATATGAGAGAGTAATGGCTTAAGTAACTCTGGCTTTTGGCTCTCTGTAGGTAAGGACTGGAGTAGAAGTCCGTACGGGGTCTCATCGTTTATGACTGACGATGGTGAGCGGTTTATGAGGTACCCTGCTGTTTTAAAAATCTCAGGCCACATTCCTTCTGGTAAGTTGGCTGATTCTTTAAGTGCGCGTGATCGTGTGATTATCGTATGGCCTGACCTCTCTATTCCTCCGTTCGGCTCTGCTGTATAGGGTGGAGAGATGTGGATTTCATATCCTTCGTCCTTAATCCAACCCTCCCATTCATTTCCAAGTGAGGCTTCACCATCTAGGTGGAATATGCGGATTTGGAACCCCCATCTTCTCCGTACGTAGCTCACAAAGTCCTTAATCGTCTGTAGGAGCGTTCCTTGTGTTTTATCCTTAATAGTATAGACGTGGTTCATGCGGCAATTATCACATAGGAAGTGTAAGGCTTGTGTGCTGCCATCGTACGCCTCTGGCATTTGGATTAGGTCAAGGTGGACCTTCTCATATGGCACTTTTGAGCGTGGTGTAGATCTTCTAGAAATCTGCCTTGTAGCATGCGTAAGTCGGCATACTTCGCACTGAGTATCGTACGAGTCTAGGTCTGTGACGATAACTCCAGCGGTCTTCTCTTGGAGTTTTCTAATGGCGTTTTGGTTTAGTTGTCCCATGCGGTTATGCCATTCCT